CAAGGAGCACGTGCATTGCATATGTAGTGCGCGTCGGAGATCGCGACACACTCATGCATCGCACGTGCTTGCCTCGCTCTCGATCTCGGTAGCGGTATTCCGTATTGCGAATCTGTTCATATCTTGGTTGTATGTACCTTCTTACTTGCTGTGTTAAAAAAAAAAGGAGGCATTATATATGTGTGTATTCGAAGGCGGTAGCAAGGTGCTGCAACTAAAATAATAAACAGAATCAACGATACCTGTTTAATTATTCAAGAAAGAAACACGAAATATAATGATAGATTTTTTACGTACGTTCTTATGTCTATGCCTTTTATTTTCTGTACGAAATACCGAACCAATATATGTTCAACTTTCAATATTAATTGGCGAGTTTTTAATTACAATTCTGCTAAAACTTTAATACTTTGTATTTTTTTCTGTCTGAAACTTTTCCAGATATCCCTAATTTTTAGTTATTCGATAACTGTTATTATACTTTTTAGATAAAAATAGATTCGAGATTGTTTAAAGAATTTGTCGAAAGAGACGATTAGTTCTTGGGACATCTTTTATTGAACCGTATCTCACTATGATTATCTTGTGATATTTTTTGTTGATTTAAGATGTACGGTACGGAATTCCTCTACCTGAGGGGCTATAACAATAACTGATTGTCGTTAAACAAAACGTGAGAGCCCGAAAGAATGCGTCTAATATAACTCCGTAGAATAAAGAGAATGAAATGCGGTGGAAGGCGGTGGAAGCCTAAACTCGCAGGATTGTAACTGTGGTCACACACAGGTTGTAATGAACCATTTGTATGTACGACACTATTGACTTAAATATATAGTTTATAAGCTATGTTCGACTTATGAGATGTTTAATTTTAGAAGCTGATTTTATTTTATGTGCGAGCAGGAACGTGATAAATCGTGCGATCATGGTAATTATGGGTAGATGTTGTGAATGATTATTACACAAAGACGATAAGTCTTGATAATTTTTCATTCTTCGACCATATAGCCTGATTTTGCTTTATTAAAAATTAAGTTGAACAATATTTTTTTTAATGTTATATCGAAATGAAATAACTTTAATTGTTTTAGCATTAGATTGAAACGAAGCTCTGTTTAAGCAAATGTTCATGTATGATTTATAAAAGATTAAAATTTGATCGTTTAAACATTTATTCATGAATATATTAGGTGTATAACTAAGTTCCCGTCGTTAATTATCAAAATTCTTTTATTAATACAAAAGAAATAAAATGGTTTTAATCAAAATTTTTTTTGTTGTTTGCATTTATCTTTTGCAGCATCGATGTGCTGTATCAATCGGAATAAGTGATAATTAGACTGCGCAATGTCTGGAGAGTATGCTGGGTGGGAAAGGATTTCCCATTTAAGATGATACAGTGTTTGTTTGACTTTATGAGCAACATGAGGCCAATACCTCGCATTATTATGGAGCAAAATGACCTTTTCGTTTCAAGGCAACTATCATTCGTTTCTCTTCAATTGCTTGACTCAAGCATTCAAAAAATTGATTTAAAAATTGAGTCAAGCAATTCAAAAGAAGCGACCGGCTGTCGGCTTCAAAATGTCGCAAAGTCAATTTGATCCACGACAATGTAAGGCCTCATGTTGCTCATAAAGTGAAACAATTAAGCGCTGCATAATCTTGAATAGGAAATCTTTTCCCACTCAGTGTACTCTCCAGACATCGCACCGTCTGATTATTACTTATTCCGATCGATGCAACACAGCGTCTTCGAAACGTATTTACAAAATAAAGTAGATATTAAAAAATGGATCGACGACTTCATTGCGTAAAGAGACGAAACATTCTTTCGCCACGGCATTCGTATGCTATCTAAAAGATAACAAAAGGTAGATGCAAACAGAAAATATTTTTATTAAAACAATTGTATTATTCCTTTTGCATTAATGAAAGAATTTCGATATTTAACAGCGAGAACATAGTTATACACCTAATATTATAACTCGAAGATAAATTCTTGAACATTCTCTTCAGATGATTGCTATAAATACTACGTTGTTTTTACCTATTGTAAACTTCTTTCAATTTAAGTGAAAATGGATCATTATTCATTACATAAATATGTATACATTATATATCATATACTTATATATTTAATGAATCATAGAAATATTTTACTTTCTTTGTTTACTATGTCTGGAAATTCTATCCTATTGTAATATTATTTTTTGTTTTTAAGTAAATATTTCAGAAAGATTTCGAAATCTGTATCCATTATAAGATTGTGTTTCGAACCAACAGTCGTGTTATAATATAATGACTCATCTTGTAGAGGTATCTTGTAGGTATTTTTTCTTATTTGCTCTTAGGAAATTCCATTTGATAATTTGATTCTATTTATAATTCAGAGACAAAAACACATCTACAAGCTTACCTAAAATAACATAACGGCCCATATTCAGAACGCGCATACTATACTTTATGTTACGCATATTATAGAATTTCAAAGATAAAAGCGCGGTTTTATCGATAAAAGCGCGTTCTGAACACGGGCCAGGATGTACAATTTCAGCTTGGTATATTTTTTTTATTATTTCTTCATATCATAATCGTTACACATCTGTGATGTCGAAGTAGAACTTCGGCCATTTATCATGATTGTTGATATCAAGTCAATATTAATAATAATTGATTCATCGATATTCTTGAAATTTGAAAATAAATTACAAAAGTATCTAGCACTGAAATGTAGAAATTGAATTAAGATATTCAAATTAATCACTAATTAAATTTTAATTAGAACTTAGCAGAGAAACGTGGTACATCCCTATAAGCGCAAAATATTCCTAGAATATTATATGGATATTATTAAAAAAAATTAAAATAATATTATATAATATTTCGAGAATAGCATAAATATTTTTTTAATATTACGAGAGTATTCTGTAGAGGTTATATGTCCACTTATATAATACCCTAGGTATTATATCTTAATATTCCTGAAATATTATTAAATACTTATAAATATTAATTATTTGTAATTTTATGCAATTTGAATTCACAATCCAGTAACGAAAAGTTCTTATCAGTCTATGCTGCATCTTGTGCTAAAAAAACTTACAATAACATTAAATAAATGTTACTTTTAATAATCATATATTATCAAGAGTGGACATATAACCTTCCATTAATATTTCGAGAGAATATGTCATGTAATATTATATAATTTTAGTAAAATATTATTAAAATGTTACATTTAAAATTCTAAGAATATGCCTAAAATATTACTTCATATTAAATGATATTATGCGCTTATAGGAATGATGCAGCATACATGGTAATTCATATTACGCTAAGACAGTTAAAACATGGAACGTTCAATGTAAATATAAGTTACATGGAGTAATTAAAACTTAAATTCGCGATTTTAAATATCATTTTGAATGACTCTGATGTATCTAAATTTTTTTCAACCTAAAGCCTTTTTAAATTGCATTTCTACATTCCCAGAATTGTTAGAATGTTACCTGAGGTGGTCATGTTACGTTTTCTCTTTCTTAAAGGTCTGTATAGATTTCCGCATTCATCTGGAAGAAAAAGTTGACCCTTTGTCAACTAAACCTTTTAGAGACCCTTTGTCTCTAAAAAAGAAATGTGAAAAATGAAAATTTTTATGTGTGTGTTATATATATTTTTACCTGAAACATACAAAAAACCTTTCACGTTTCCGTCCTAAAAAAAAAGTTTTACGATCGACTCTCAGATAGCAATTCTAGCCAATTCTAGAAATTACAGCAGCATTGGAATGTTCCTTACTATCTGGATTTCTATCGTGGTTGTTTAAATTCGTTCAAAAATAAACACAATTTTTTTATTAATCAAAAGTTCAATTATACATTCAATAGAAGCACGTGTTTTCCAAGAATTCCATCCGATGAATCCACAGGAAAATGGATCGTAATCCGTTTCGTAATCCGTTTCACATGAAAAAATCATGGATAATACTAGAAAAATCTATATACATACTATAGATTTTTATACATTTTCATATGCGATATATTTTTTTCGAAAATATGATCCAAACCAGTAAACAAGAATGGATTGAAATGAATTGAAATGTATTTAGAAATGCGCATTCGCGAAACGTTAAAATAAATCCTTTTCTTCAATTTGAATGCAATTTTTATTCATTTATAGGAATTGTATGAAGCACATTTCTATACTTTTTAATCTAAAAATAATATCAATGTGCATAATGAATTACTGCTTAATTCAAAATTCTAGGAGGAGATAAGTAGGAAATGCTTGATAAAGTTTTTCAATCCAGTTGAATCTAGTGGAATCAAATTAAATAAAAAGAAATTTCTTTATTCACTTAGATGACTTAATAGACTTAATGGACTTAAAATTTCAATTCATTTTAATCCATTCTCGATTATTAGAAAAATCGAATTATGAATCATTACCTGCAGTAGATGACTCAACGTTGGAATTTTTGGAAAACACGTGCTTCTATTAAATGTATTTATCGCTTTCATTAAAATGCGATAATTAAATCCTTAATCAATAAGAGATTGTGTTTATTTTTTGACGAATTTAAACAATTGTGATGGAAATTCAGATAGTATGAAGCATTCCAGGGTTACTGCAATAAACATAGAATCTTATTTTCGAAAAATATAAATTTTTCGAGAATAAGAGACCTCATATTTAAAACTGTTTCAAATCTGATTATGGGCGGTCTTAAAACTTGTAGATTTGTTCTTTTTAACTGAACTTCTTGCACCCCATACATCTTTCCTCTTTTTCTCACCCTATTGAAGAGAAAAGAAGAAAAGATGAACGGTATAAGAAGTTCAGCTAAAAAGAGATCTGTCCGCGTTGCTTGCATTTTTTGCACTCAGTACCTTCGCTTTCTCTCTCTCTCTTTAATATCCGAATATATGTATATTTATCTTGTTTTAAGTGCAAACATTTTTGGGAATTTTAAATAACAGCGAACAGACCTATGGACAGACGAAAGATATGCGCATAGAGATCGAATAAGATTGATTGGTTATCGTAAGCGCATTGGTGGGGGGAGGGGAACCGTCGCACGACGGGTTGTGGTTGGTCGGTGCGGTAGCCTCGGGGTGCTTTGGAGGTTATAACGAGCGTCCGGCGAGGATCGGGTTTTTGTTCGTGGGTTACCGCGCGGGTGGATCAGATCGTTGGCGGCAGACGCGTTTCGTCGTTGCGAACGGAAGGACGCGCATTGGGTTTGATACGGGTGGCGGCGCATCTACCGCAGCTACCGTGTACACGTGAATTCGGGCCGCTCACGCGTTTTACGTACGGCAAAGTGAACTCGATGTCGATAATATGTCGGCTACGAGCAACGTTAGGACGACACGGATGCACAGGATGGCCTGTCGGGCCGTTTGACGATTATTTATGAATTCACGGAAAGATCTGAGGAGAGGATATTCACGGTACAACTACAACAACAATAACAATAACAACATGGTGAAGGAGAAGGCGAATTCGATCCGCATGTACGACGCGGAGGGCTATAGACGTAGGGCTGCTTGTATCTGCGTCAAGAGCGATCTCGAAGATGAGGTAAGCCAGCTGGCAGATGGCAGCCACCTGTATCTTTGCCGGCACGCGGTCGTTGCGCGTGCCATGCTAGTACCGGTTAGTTTTACTTCTCTCTCCAAGAGTCGAGCTTTCATCCGATCGTTGATCGACCTGGATTTGTTTCGTCGAGGTCGACAAATGAGTCGAGCTCCTCTCTTTTTCTCGCATGAAGTCTCTCACATGTTCCATGAACTCTTACAGGTATTACTAGTTACATCCAGTCGAAGACCCGACAGTTGGATAGTGCCAGGCGGCGGCGTCGAACCCGAGGAGGAACCAGCTCTTCGCGAGGTCCGGGAGGAGGCTGGCGTTTTAGGACAGTTAGGACGTTACCTTGGCACATTTGAGGTTATAACCCGTGATGTATGCCACACAGATATTATGTTATAATCCTTCATATATTATGTTTTCTTTTTTTTATTAATGTACAATGTTCCAATACATAACTAAGTCATTAGCTGCGTTCAACAGCAAGAAGAACTTTGTAACTGTAAGATTCTTTAATATGATTGGTTTATATATTTGGATCCAGCAAATAATTAAGCCAAGAAGCCTGTTTTTTTTTTTTAATTAAACTTATTTTGTTCATTTTTCTCCTTTTTTCTCCACGTTAGAGAAAAAAAGAAAAGTCAATAATGTAAGAAAGTTTAGCTAAAAAGAATAGGTCTAATAACAAATCATGTTAAAAAATGGTTGTGCTCAGAAAATACAGCTTTGCAATTATTGTAAAATTCTTTAATGGTCTTACCTTTAGTTTCTTACTCGTGATTACAGAATCTTACAACTGTTACAAAAGTTACTTTTTTTTTAACGCAGTTGTAGTCTCAAGATCTGTTCGCATTACACTTTTTGCACTTAGCATCTTTGCTTTCTCTCTCTTCAACACTCAAATATATATTTATCTCATTTTAAATGCAAAAATTTTTTATTTCAACCAATGCGAACAGACCTTCAATCGTTCAGTTTGTTGGTTTCGAGACCGTTGATCCCAAGCAAGATAGTAACGGTGCTGATAAGGCAGATTCTCCCGTTTCACATGGCTTTCCTTTTATAGAACACAGAGCACAAACACCGAACGGATGTATGGGTTATGCGGGTGACCGAGGAGCTGCCGGAGTGGGAAGACTCGCGCGCTATCGGCCGGAAGCGAAAGTGGTTCACCATACCAGAGGCCCTGCTGCAGCTTGGTCAACACAAGCCCGTCCAGCGCTCTTACCTACACAGCCTCCACAATACCAATCCACGACATAATCCCACCTCTCAGCTGTCCAATCATTCGCACTCCACGATGGCGTCTATCGAACTAATGAATAACTCTAGTAACAATACCCATTTGAGCGAACACAGCTAATATCGTCGCGGATCAAACCGGTTTTTTAATCCAAAATTCGACCGCCATGGATTCTCTCCGAGCAAAAACTCGCTGTTACTTCTCCCTTCTTCCCTTAAGGGAATTCACTATGCAACTACTGTTGTGTTTTATATATATAAATTGATATTATCTATGTGCTTATATTATATTCCTAGGTTAATTACTATGATTATTATCACGTTTAGTCTTAGATTGTTGATAAATCGGTTCGTGAAGGAGCATCTTTTCTTTTTTGTAATCATATTTTCATTTCTGATATGACCTTTCTTTATCGAACGTGCGAGAAGAGTGATTAAGTCAATTATTTTATTGTCATTATTATTTAGTGTTTGTGCCTAATATACGTAGAATGCCATACACGTGATCCTTTTCTATGTATTGCATATCCTGGCTATACAGCTGTGCGAACTTTTTCTACATTTTGTCGAGGCGAAGCGGAAAAGTTGCGTTGTACTTGTTAATATACAGACGATAAATTATGTACTTTGTATATTAACTTCTTGAATAAATTTTGTAATGATTTCTGCGAATAAGATGCGCGCGGAGCTGCTGCTCTATACCCTCCGTCTATAGTAAAAAAAACTCAAATTTTTGCAGACGTAACATAAGTTTATTAATATTTCGTTGTTAACAGCTTAAGTTTCTCGAATAACGTATGACTTTAGATATCCATAATTTTCTGTATTTATTTTTTTTTGCGATACTTTGTGATGACAAATTTGTATAGCTTAGGTTTTCTAGATTTCTGTGGAAGGAAAGGATCTAAGGAGAAAGTGAACAACTTTTGTAGTGTAGACTAATATGAGACATTAAATTTTTACGATTTAAATAATTATATATTTTTATTTAATTCTCTTTACATACATCCTAGCGTACGATATTAGATTTTATATCTTTTTCTAACGTTCTTTTAAAATTTAAATATACTTGTCTATCTTATTTTAAACACTTCAATTTTTTTTTTTAAACAGCATTTTTCTTCGATTTTTTTAAAGTGATCAAAAATCAAGTACAAGTCGGTACAAGTTGAAAGTCAGGCTGCGTTCAAGGAACGCACTATCAGCGCTTTGTGTCATATCCTTGTTTCACGTGCAATGGATAATGAAGATAGAATGACACATAAAAAGCATCTGCCCGAACGCACCTATGGCTGTGTTCCAAATTTCACTGCCAGCGCTGAAAATCTATAGTTTACGTCATATATACTATACATTTCCAGCACTGACAGTGAATTTTGGAATACAGCCTATACAAGGTGCGTTCAGGGAGATGCTATTAGCGCTATGTGTCATTCTATTCTTGTTTTACGTCTAATAAATAACGAAGATAAAATGACAGAGTAGCGCTATTAGCGTCTCCCCGAACGCACCAACAGACGAATATATAATGAGCATGCGCAGATCATGAAAGAGCCCACGTGGCTGTTGCAGTAACTTTATAATAACGCGGGTGAAGTCAATTTATTAAATTTTATATTTAAAAAGGAAAATATTTAAGTAAATTAATAAAAAAACAACCATACGTTTCCATACAACGTTTCTTTAAGTAAGTACAAATTTAAGTGGAAATATGTTTAGTTAATATAGTCTTCTGATCTGTAATATTTTGATCAACAATCTCTGAGGTTAAGGTGCATGACACAGACATCAGAATTTCAATAAAAATTTTTCTAAATGTGTTATAAAAAAATTACACAATTCGTCATTGCAGTTACCGTTGCGTTTACATACCTGTACACTTTGAAGACATATCTGAGAAAATGAAGGAAGAATCAATGGAAGGTATCGCAAATGAGAGCGAAAGCAGCGAGAGCAGTGACGAATCTATGGAAGGCGAGAATGCAAACGAAAGTCAAACAGAAACCAAATCGCAAGTGTATCTTCCAGGACAAGCTCTACAAGAAGGAGAGGAACTTACCGTGGATAAGTCGGCGTACAAATTGTTGCATCACGCGCAATCTGGAGCACCTTGTCTCAGCTTCGACGTGATACCAGATAATTTGGGTAATTCCAGAGAGAGTTATCCCTTAAGCATGTATATAGTCGCTGGGACACAAGCTGCCAGGACGCACATCAATAATCTCCTTGTCATGAAAATGTCCAATTTACATGGTAATAAGCAGCGTTCTGATGATTCAGAAAGTGAATCAAGCGATTCAGAAGACGAAGATGACGAGAGTAAGCCAGTCATGAGTGTTGCTCCTATCAAACATCAAGGATGTGTTAATAGAGTGAGGTAAATATTCTAGAAGTCACATCATTGATAATTGACGACTGTGGAATATATATTTGCATACATTTTTATTTGTAATGTTTACAGATGTACAAAAATTGGTGGAGGAATTCTAGCCGCCAGCTGGAGTGAACTGGGACGTGTAAATATCTGGAACTTGCAAGAACAGTTGAGTGCAGTTGAAAATCCCAGCTTGCTGACCGCATATCGTAATAAGTGTGATAAAGCGAGTGCAGACATTAAACCATTGTATGCATTTAAAGGCCATCTATCTGAAGGATTTGGTCTTGATTGGAGCCGCTTGGAACCGGGTACTCTAGCATCCGGTGATTGCAAAGGTAACATTCACATATGGCGAGTTGACAACAGTGGTGCATCCTGGCATATAGACCAAAGGCCATACAATTCACATGCTCCACATAGCGTTGAAGATTTGCAGTGGTCGCCAAGTGAAAAGAATGTTTTGGCATCGTGTTCTATAGACAGAAGGTTTGTATTTTCTATAAAATATTTAAATTATTGACAAGGAGAGAACAGTGAACTCGTCGCGGATTTTGATCCCTTTTAACATGGTGAATCTACATAAAAAATAAGTTGTCTAAGTGTTTTGTTGAATGGACCTTGTTCATAGTATTTTTTAATATGTAAGGAAACCCCCTACACTAATTACATGGAAAATTAATTAAACAAATTTTCATATAACTTAGCTTATAATGAACAAAATATAGACTCGAAGCTCAATAATGGATAGTTTTTCAGCTATAGTGTATCAAAAGATGTAAAACTTGTATTCACGTGCACAGAGCACCTTTGATACACCATAGCTCAAAAACTATCCGTTAGTCTATGACATATGTTGAAGGAGATCGAAATCCGTAAGTCGAATGTATCCTCTCCTTGTGAATCAGATTGAGAATTGAATATTGTTGCTTCTCGCAAATTATTATAAAGATTATTTTATTCCAGCATAAAGATTTGGGACATGCGAGCAAGTCCACAGAATGCGTGCATGTTGACAGCATCTGGTGCTCACACGGCTGATATCAACGTTATCTCCTGGAATCCAAAGGAAAGCCAGTTTATAATATCAGGCGGAGACGACGGAATGCTCTGCGTATGGGATTTACGACAGTTCGGACCTAATGGTGCAAGTCCGGTCGCTACTTTCAAGCAGCACACCGCGCCAGTCACTACCGTGGAATGGCATCCCACAGAAGCCACGGTGTTTGCTTCCGGCGGAGCTGACGATCAGATCGCTCAATGGGATTTGTCGGTAGAAGTAGATCACACAGAAGAACCTCAAGACAGCGTGTTAGCTAAGTTACCGCCACAACTACTGTTCATACATCAGGGTCAGTCAGATATCAAAGAGTTGCATTGGCACCCGCAATGTCCAGGAACTATGATATCAACAGCGCATTCAGGATTCAATATATTCCGTACAATTAGTATATAATAGAATATCATTCTCTCTAGGATAACATATAAAAGAATATATTTTTAAGAGTCTGTGCAAAACAATATATTATGTAAAATATATCTACAAGATCTTCGTTTCTTAAATTAATTTTTTATTCCTATTTATGTAATTTTTTAATTTCGACAATCGAGATTTTAAAGATGGACTTTAATGAATTATTTGCTTGTATTTAAATACAAATATCTTGATAAAATATGTTCGTTAAAACATTACAGATTATTTGTTTATTAGTAATAAGGACAACAAGTGTCTTATAGTAGGCCTCCCATGTGGACAACTCCATGGGTTCTGCATTTGTGCCATTTGCGTTATCAGTCTCTGCATCTCGCTGAAGTTTAACGCTGTACCGATCATGACCGCGCTGCGACACGCTCTGGACGCTAACATTTGCCTGACACGGCTAGGACGATATATATGCTTATCCATGTTTTCATTGCCTGCTTCTCTAATAAGGAATACTAACTCCTCAATATCCTCTTGACCAAACTGCCAATGACCACTAACAGGCATTCCTATTAATTCTATTTTTTTGCCAGGTTCAGCTAAAAGTTGTAAAAAAAATAGTTGCGTGATGCAGAAAATTGTAAAGTTTAATATTTCATTGCTTTTTCACATTTTGCTAATATTTTTCAAAAATTATTTATAAAAAATCAATCATAGAACTAATAGTGAGATAATAAACATGAGAATGTAATAACTTTAATACATGCCTTGCTCATTGATATTAAAGGTAAATCCATTATCTTCGAACATTTGCTGATGTTCTACAAGTATCGTTTCGTTCAATGTAGAGAAATTCAATGATTTTGGTACAATAAGCTTCTGAGTTTTCAGCTTCGTTTCATTACTGAGCTTCTCGAATCGAAATTTTTCGTCGGTAGCGTGTTGGTCGATGATAAATAAATCATCCTCCAAGCGAGCTATTATGAAACCAAGATTAAACTGACCTATTATCTCCATCTATAAAAGATTTCTAAGTTCAAAACATAAATGTATAATGTATTTTATATTCGATATTAATACTTTATACAGTAAATTATATTTAATAATTGTATATAAAATATAATGAAGTATATTTTACATATCTCGCTCATTTGCAACAACAACACAATTCAAAGAGCAATTTTCTAAAAAATGAGTTTGAATCATCACAATTTTGGAATATCAATTTTTTGATGTAATAATTGTTTTCAGAGGAATAAAAATATATTCTTTTAAAATATATACTTTCTTTTTTTTTTCATTTTTTTTTAAGTACAATTCCAAAATTACAATTTTTGAATTGTCATTAAAGCAAATAAGCGATATATATAGTAAAAGATTATCCAATAAAAATTATATACATTACTAACCTTGTCAAATGAATCTTTTGTCAATTCTTTTTGCAGTTCTTTTTCAGCCTCGCCTTGATTAGCTTCCATTTGTACTCTATATTTTATTCTTTTAGCTGTACTGACAGGTGTTCTAGCGATATTCACTTTTTCGTTTAATTTTTCTTTTATCGTTATTATACTTATCACCATTTCTGTATCTACAGGCTTTTTCATTGATTTGATATTAGTCTGAATATTACTTTCTTTCACAATATGTGACACCGAAGATGATGCTTGTAATCTTTTAGCTGGCGGTTGCGTGTGACTAGACGAGATTGTTCTTTTCAAGCCAAAATTTAACTCTGTTAAAGTCTTGACTGTAAAATTCCCTTGCAGTTTGTCCCATTTTGTTGTTAAACTGAATTTCAGTGTCCCTAATATATGGCGTTCTTGCGTAACAAATATTGTCCTCTTATCGGGAGTAACATTAACATCGGCGCATTGCCGGTCTAATTTTAAATTAAAAAAGACAAACGGATACTGTTTATTGTTGTATTTATGATACACACTGTTGATCAGTTTACTGACCTTCGCGAGATCACACGGTCGACCGTTCACATAAAAAAATTGTCGATCGGGTGAGGAACGTCCGATTGTATGGTCGCAAGTGCTTACGTAACACTCCCAATCAAAATCTACGGTAATGTCATTAGGCAAATTGTATTCTTGCAATATTGTTTCGTCCGGAGGTTGTAATTCGAGTTTAACGATTCCGTCCAGAGACTTCTTGCCAAACACAGAATTGACATTGTTCAGTACATCGTCGGTGTTCCTAGTGGCCACGATAAGGTTGGGCGATTTACCCGCTATCAAATTGGAACATGTAATCTTGACATTGGTGGAGACTAAGCAGTAACTGTACAAGACTTGGATAGCGCGCGCGTACTCTTTCTTCAGATTCTTCTGAAATTCCTTCGCTCTCACGGGCAGATTTTTAAATATGTTCCTCACGTGTACTGTAGTACCCTTTTCTCTGGCGCATGGTTCCTTCTTCGTGAGCACGCCGTTCCGGTCGAATTCTAATTTAAAGCCATGTCCGCTCGATGCATGCCTGGTGACGATGCTCAACTCGGACAAGGCACACAATGAGCTCAATGCTTCGCCACGGAAGCCAAATGTATTTACTTCAGTCAAGTCTGTGAATTCCCGAAGCTTTGAGGTATGATGTTTTAAGCCTGATGAAAGGAAAAAAAGATTACTGTATTAAAAATTATCTTTAATCCACACACATAAGTTATACATGTCTTATAATATTAAAATATTAACAGGAAAAATAGCAAATACGAGTAACAGCGCTGTAATTGGATCTTCCATGTCTGGGTCCACTGAGTTGCCTGGATGTTAATAACACTTTAAAATCAAATCACCAACTGTAAGCTGAGGATGACTCCAAGAAGAGTCTAAATATTTTATATTAAATGATTTATATTTTTACTTATAATTGACTATAATTTTGTAGAATTTAATTCATGCACCAATTACAGCGCTGTTACTTATGTTTACAGTATTTTTTTCTCTTAATATCTTCAATTCCTTTAATAGAAGACTAATTCTAAATTAAATTCTAAACTGAACTAATTTCTGTTAAGATGAAGTAAATAAATTATTACGACTATTGATAATTATTTCGTAATTTCGTAATAGGCCTACCTAAGCCTTCAAAGTCTTGTTCCGAAACGCCACTGCCATTGTCATTGACACTAATGCAAGTTTTACCATAATCAGTAAGTTTAACATCGATCACTGTAGCACCACTGTCCAAACTGTTCTCTACTAACTCTTTAATTGCAATCGCAAGGTCGAGCACCACCTAATGAAATATTTGTAATATAGTATATGTAATATAATATATCTTGGATCTTTCCTTATAAGAGACATTACAACAATGTTGTCCAAGATTTATTGATGTTCATGTCTGTTGCTTTTCTTTTTCTTAATGAAAGTATTCGATTGAGCCTTTTTATTATATTAATTTTAATGAAAGTAGGTATAAAAAAAAATAGTGAATACTAACACACATCAAATTAAACTCCAAAACAACAAATCTTGGACAGTACTGCCTTACAACTACAATTGAAAAATAAAAATATAATTAAAGAAATTGTACAATAATAAAAATGTAAATAAATAAGTTGTATAAATAATAAATATAAAATAATAAATTGCATAATAATAATAAGAAATTGTATCATATTGTGTATTTTTATGTTTACGCTTGCTCCTTTTATTAATTTACATACTTAACCTTACCTGACCGGAGCAGATGTGATGGATCGTTTCTCTGTTTATAGCTTCTATCTTCTTCGATTTTTCAGTCGTTGCAACAGGTTCATCCATAATTTGTCTTGTCTGCACATATGCTCAGCGTCACGAATATTAATACCATGAAATTACACTAGTAATGAACTCGAAATCACTCGAAATGTGCGCGTCCACCACCCTCTACCACCACCATGTGCTCAACTTTCCTAAGTTCCTATGTCTGTGCATGTATGGTGACAAATCAATCATGGTATTCATGGTTTGCGCGTTCTATGTAGAGAACGAAAAGGAATTTACAATAAAATTTTCGAAATTATACACACAGTTGTGACACATGAATATTTAAAAATAAATACTCTTAAATAATTTTATAAATACACTATTAATTTTAATTATTTAATTACTTCAATTACACTAATAATTTTAATTACTTAATTTATATAATAAATAGTAATACAAAATTTTTATACAGTAATATATAAAATTTCATATATTAAAATTTTTCGAATTTACAAGAATTATAAAAACGAAGCTGTATACTTTTTTTAACAATACCTAGATTTACAATTTGTAATCATTTAATTCGAAGCTCCATTTTTTAAATAAAAATTAGCTGCATTTAATCAGGAAAAATAAATTTGGATTTACATTTACGATATATAAAATTATTTCATATAAAGAGACCAAATGTAAAATTATAAATGTGTATGTGTGCATGATTTAAGTATATAAATCTATTTGATATATTTATTAATAATTATTTTATACATTTATTAATGTACACTACACAACCTTATTAAAACATATATTTTACAAGTCCGACCTAACTCCAAATCCAGGACCCGGTGGCGGAGTCGTTAACGATGTAAGTCCATCAGCAGGATCAGCCGCGAATCTAGGAGAATTCTGTGGGCCTGGTGGTGGCCTCTCACCCTTCTTGAAAGCATTTATAATAGTTGTCGCAGTCTCTGGAGTCAAATCTTCCTGCAAAAGAGATAGGAACACAGAGATAAGCATAGCATCATTTTCGCTCAAAATTATTATTCTTGAAATGATAAATATCAAATAAAATTAAATAATAACAGATATACATACATAATAATCATCGTTTACTTGAAACATCGGGGCATTGGCACAAGCACCAAGACATTCCACTTCGGAAACGGTGAATAGCTTATCTGCAGAGGTGCCGCCAAGTTCGCAATTCGTAGCCTTCGTCACGGCGTTAACTATCGAGTCAGAGTCTCTTAGCCAGCACGGAGTACAAGTGCAGATCTGTATGTGATATTTGCCCATAGGCTTGCGATTGAACATCGTGTAGAACGTGGCTACTTCGTACACTCTCATACGCGGCACGTCCAATATCTCGGCGACTTTATGCATGGCAGAAATGGGCAGCCAGCCGTGTTGCCGTTGCGCCAGGTCCAACAGAGGTATCATGGCACCACGCTTGTGACCTTCAGGATAGATTGCAAGAAGTGCCTCGATCCGCTTCTTATTTGCCTCATTGAACTCAAACGGTATATTAGGATTGTCTTGCTCACTGTCTCTATGCTAAAATTTAAATATTATACAATATGTTGATTGAAATTGATTGTCGTTATTTATTAAGATGTTTCTAAATAGGTATGAAAGATGTTAGATGATTCTTTGTTGAAAATTAAGAGGAGGTTTTCATATACATTTATATCTTTTCCTGAAGAGTTACATTCCTTCAAAGGAGGCAAAAATTAAATTTTTATTCTTTTTTAAATATTAATGAGTATTCTTTTTATTAGTGAAAAATATTCACAAAATTTCATTTCTTAAACTTCCAAAATTTGAAAAAAATAAAAACTTAATTTTTACCTCCCCCTTTGGAGTGTAATTCCTCAGGGAGGATATAAAAGTATTTGTTTATATAAAAACCTTAATTTTCAATAAAGAATTATCTCCTAACATTTTCTTATTTCCTGCATAATTGTACCACTTACAACAAACAATTGATCCGACATGCGATTTGCTGTTGTTTGCACTCCCCTAATGTTCCTTGGAGCCTGTTAAAGACAGAATTAATGTTAAATATGAGTCAAGTGACAGATCGGTAGGTCAAGTGACAAATTGTCGAACTTTACAAAATGCAGAAATCGTGCTTTTGAACGTGCCAACATTTTTATCTTTTATGCCCTTTTATTCATTTTGGCTCTCATAAATTTATATAAAATTAACACAGAAGCAAAAAACTGAGAACACATAAGGTAAATAAATAAGGTTATGTTAAATGAGATATGCATACCATACATTAAATAAATCACGATCTTCTAGTAAAAAAAAAGACAAATAATTAATTTACATTCAAGAACAAAATGTTTTACAAAGTCGATATAATTAAAAATTGAAGATTATGTAAGGTATTTGAGGTTAGGTGTTAATGTGGAGAAGTAAACTGGGGTGAGTACAGTGATGAATTTCCGGAAAATAACTACTCACGAAGAGCCCGCAAGCTCGACGTAGAGACGCCAGCATGTCGATGCAGTTGAACGACAGGCAAGACGATAAAATTCTTGCCTCACTTCGTCAAACAAACATCAATTGACATCAACCACTATCAAGTGTCCAATCACAAGCCGTACAAGCCCTCCGTCAACTCCGTCTTTGATTATCATGGCTGGGTTCGGGAAGCGCGCTATCAGCGCTATTTGTGTCATGCTATTCTTAAGTCTGTTCGCGTTACTTGCCTTTGGCACTCGGCATCTTCGCTTTCTCTCTTTTCAAGGCCAAATATATATCTATCTCATTTTAAGTGCAAAAATATTTGAGAATTTCATGCAACGCGAACAGACCTCTTGTTTCACGTCTAGTGGACGATGAAGATAGAAGACACAAATATTGCTAATGCGGAGTCTACAATAGAAGTCGTGCAGTCGTAGGGTTTTAAGTCGTAGAAAATTGACCAATCATAGGCTGCGTTCAGCAGACTCAACAGTTTTGCAATCGTTTTATGATTCTGCTGAGATAGGACCATTCTTCTAGATCTAAAAGTATGATCCAATTAGCGCGAAGGAAACTTACAACAGTTGCAAAACAAACGTTCTGCTGAACGCACCTATAATCGAATATGAGAATAATCAACTATAATTGATCAATTTTCTACGACTTATGACCGCAGCACAGACTCTTGCATAATGCATAATGTATAGTGCATAAGGGAATCGACCAATCGAAATTCTTCTTTTCCATGGAATGGGAGGAAAGGAAAGATTCTGATTAGTTGATTCGCTTATGCACTATGCGTTATGCAAGAGTCTGTGCTGCGACCTTAAGACCCTACGACCGTTACGACTTCTATTGTAGACCTCCCATAATGGCGTCTCCCCGAACGCACATCAGCCACGTCATTCAAGACCAGAGAGATCTATCCCCACTTCTGTTACTCTTCATTCTCACGTTGCAAGCATGAGATCTGTTCTTTTTAACTAAAGTTCTTGCACGGTTCATCTTTTTTCCTTTTTTTCTCCACGTTAGAGAGAAAAAGAGAAAAGACGAACCGTCTAAGAAATTTAGCTAAAAAGAACAGGCCTATGATTGCAAGTATTGCAACTGCACCAAACTGCACTAGAAGATCATAGAAGAAGCTAGAAGCAGTTAGAGACGAAAGAACGTGAAATTCTACAAAAAGCAAAAACGTGTTTATATAATCAAATTTGTCGCAGAAGTGAGCTAAACTGAATAATTACAGGTACATTAAACTTTGTTTGCTGATATTTTCTGGAAATTAAATTTTGAAATCAATAGTTTTTCTCATTCTCGTGGATGCAGTTGAGTTAGAAGTTGCGAGAAATACTACAGCAGTAGAATAGGTTAATAGAATTTATCCTAATTACGAGTCCAACTTAGATCAAATTCGTGTAATTTTGCTTTTAATTAGTGCAGCTGCGTTCAGTAGAAAAAGCAGCTTTGCAACTATTGTAAATTCTTTAACGTAACCCTGGTGAAAATTTTTCTTATAATTTTTATACGATTTGGAACATTTTTCAGAAATACTCAGAAATATTCGGAAAGTTTACATCTTTTCTCATAATTTTTCGTAAGTACAAGTGAATTCTGAAATATTTTGAGATTTCTCATCCCATAATTTTTAAAAAATATTTTTAATTTTTTTTTAGATTTTATAACATTTTATCAGAAATTATACTTACAAAAACTTAGAAATCTTACGATATTTCATAATTAACATATATGGAAAATTCTGAGAAAAAATATAGATTTTCTGAGAAGTGTTCCAATTTGTATAAAAAATGTGAGAAAGTTATATATAAAATTATATAGAAATTCTGAGAAAAATTTTCGCCAGGGAATTAAATAAATTCTTGTTCTTAATTTCTCACGGATCTAAATGCACAAATCAATCATATTAAAGAATCTTATAATAATTGCAAAACTGCTTTTTCCACAGAATGCAACTGTAATATCTTTTGTCTCCTTGCTTTGTTCACAAAATGTTTACACTGATTTAGCTTAAAAAAAAAAGTTATCGCGGTTGACAGTATCATTGTGTTATCTTCCTTATCTATCATATAAATCTTAGATTAGAGTACCTACCTATATATTTATTATTTTATTACAGATATTTCTTGTTGTACATGAGAGAATAGACATAGCATAAAGTCAAAATGATATACAGACATTTTCTTGAGCAACATATAACGCTTTATAATGGACAAATTTATTGTGATCGATGCAAGATCACATTTCAAAACTTCAAGGAAGGAACGCGTCATTATGAAGAGGATCACTCGTCTGTCAGCAGTAAAATATCTGATTTCCTAAATAAAATGAAATTGTCAAAAAAAAATTGTACGAAGTTAGTACAACAGGGTATTATAATAAGAGGAATACAGCAAGATTACTTCTGTATATATTGCCAAACTTCAATATCATCTTTACATAATTTTTCTCAACATTTAAAAGAAGAAAATCACTGCAAATATATAGGTTCTAAATCTAATGCTAAAAAACCTTTACTGGAAAACCCAGCAGATAAACTAAATAATAATACAATTAACGATCAAACTATATCTGTTGATGTACAAAATGAAAGTGATTTAATTAAAAATCTTCCAAGTAGCTTCAAAGCAGAAGAGAAAAGTACAATTTTATTAAAGTCTTATAACGAAGATAGTATTAGTGAGGGTCTGCAAAGTGAAAATTATATTGATATGGCTTTTTGTTGTTTGTGTAGTATGTTTATTTATAAAACTACTATAAAAAATCATATGATAAGCAAGAACCATAAGTCTGCCGTATCTATATTTAGAGAAATCCGAATCTCTAATCAGCAAATGTTGTGCATTATAAAGTTAGAAAAGGAAAGAAAAACTCTTAGGTCACTACAGTTAAATAATAAAAAATTCAATGGAACTATATGGCCAGAACATGCAGAAACTCTAGCAAAGTATACTTGCGATCAATGTAACAAAATGGTCGAGCAGGATGATATAATAAATCACGAAATAACAATACACAAAAGTAGCATGATGTTTTCTATGAAGTTTATCTATAATTGGTCATCTGAGAGAAGAGATCTTAACGTCACTATTTGTTATCCACTGTTTAAATGCTCGTTCTGTAATGAGATAATACATGGCATAGTGTCATTACAAGCTCATTTTTCGAAATGCGAGCACAAAGAAAATATTAAATCATTAATCGACATTAAGAGACAGGAGTTTGATAATTGTAAAAATATAGAAATTTATTTGGAGCCAATTGAATTTCTAAGTCTAATCTCTTTTAAGAATAATGGCGGAACTATTCAAATTCTGGAACAGCCTGTGATGTATATTAAAAACAATTATCAAACTCTTCATAAATATCCAAGAAAAATTCAGAATACATTTACGTACATTTGCTTTGACTGTAATTATACAGCTTATAAAATCAACGATGTAATTAACCATTTATGTGAAATGTTAAGACATTTGAAGCATTTTGAAAATATTCTTCTCACATATATGTCTATATATAGTGTGTCTACATCAAGAGAACTTATCGTAAATAAAAATGAACGTGAAGTAAAATCTCCAGTTTCTAAAGAAGATGTATCAATTGATAATGAATCATTGACGGAATGCAGCATTGATAAAATACAAGTAAATACAGGACAATACAGCAATCATAACTTAATAGTTGAAAAGAATTCCAGCAACACAAATAGTAGAATGAGTCAAAATGAAGAAAATAATTCTGGCTTTTTTATATCTCTCGATATATTTTCGGAAATGAATACATTAATAAAAATAGATTATGAATTAAATTGGTTGTCTACAAACCAGTTAAATAAGAGCGCTCTAAATCGTTATAATAAAATATATTTGAAAGATTACCTCGACATGGAGGAAATCATGTTTGCCTGCAACGAAAGAAAACTGATGAAAATTAAATCGAATTTGCAGTTTTTCATTCCAAGTCCTGATACAGAAGACAAAATACTTTGCCTTATATGTGAAAGTCTGCAATTATTCAATATACAGGCAATATACGAACATATAAATTCTGAAGGACACATTATAAAATTTAACATGCTACATGAGAATGAAGAACATTTGGAACTGTTAAAGGAGCTAGTGAAGATACAACCTGCATATACTAAATGTTTTGCTTGTAAAATACATACATTTGAGAATAGAAAAATTAACATAGATTTTAAGAGTCATATATGTACATCTTTGCACAAGAACAATTGTAACCAATTACGTGATCAAGTTGAGATCATATTGAAAGAATTCCAAAATTTATGGTATAATATCCAATACTTTGCTTGTATCGATTGCAACGAAAAATTCAGAATGAAGATAAGATTTATGGATCATCTTAATCACAAGCATAGAGAAATCATGAGAAAAATGACTAATTCGAGGTTTGAGTTTTGTTTAACGTGTGCGACTTTATGGTACGAAACAAATGATACCGAAGACATCCATATAAATTATAGAAAACACTGTCAATTACAAATGCATCAGTATCTAAAGAAAAGTAATGACTTCGCACTTACGCCGTTGCCGCAGCCTCTACAAGAATTGTTGAGAGATGTTAACGAAATTTCTGCTAATCTGTTCAAATCGTCGAAAAAAGTATTAAATGATCCAAAAGTGACTCAACTTATGGATGCTTTAAAGCACATCTTTGGAACAAGTCAACTCCCTGTAGAAGTGCTCATGTTTGGTTCAAGAGTCACTGGTTTAGCATCAACAAACAGTGACATCGACATATATCTTGACTTCGGTAAATATATTTATTTCTGATATTTACAAAATTGATTAAATATTTAAAAAAAAGTTCAAAAGATCACAGAAACAAATTTTTTTATTATCAGTATTATATATTTAAAATGACTTATTAAAATAAATTGTAATTGTACTTTTTCAAAACATTTAATTAATTTTCTGAATTGCTGTATATAAAATAAAAGCTTATAAGAAATTTATAAAAAATAAATTTGTAAAAAGGATTATAATATAAAATTTAAAAAAAAATGTTTATGTTAGATGACGAATGTACCGAGCCTCAATCGATTAAAAGGAGTAAGCAGATTCAAGATTGTTTACGTACCGACCATGAAAATTGGGATATAGAATTAACTTTGAACAGGAGCAGAACTCCTATAATAAAAGTAAAGCACAGATCAACGGGATTGCAGTGCGATATCTCGTTTACGAATGGTCTGTCAGTGGAAAATTCCAAGCTTATTAGGTATGAAACATTATTGTATTTCTAAGAAGTATGCAATAATTTTATAATAATAACTAATAGTTTTATAATAAATCTAGATCTTTCAATACCGCATATCCACCGTGTCAAAAATTGACACTGTTTCTAAAGAAGTGGCTCTCGCTGGCGGGCTTGAGTGGTCCTGATGGAATAACAAATTATGCTCTTGTCTGGCTAGTCATCTTTTACTTGCAAGTTAAATTTAAAATTCCGAGTATTGCTGACTTAATCAAAAGCCATAATCAATCGAAAATCATCTCTGGTAAGTGTTTTAGAGATTTCTAATTTAATATATTGTAGCATATTATAGTTTATGGAATCTGTAATTGGGAAAAGTCTTATCTTGCCATAATAATAAATCGTAATTTTACACATATTCGTACCTTAGGATTGACATAATTATAATATAATATTGATATTTTGTTATATTCTAGGTTGGGAAACTGGAATTAGTGATACTATTCTTATCAATGTACCACAACCACCAATACACGAACTGTTGCTAGGATTTTTCGAATATTACGGAGGTTTCGATTATATGCATCTCGTCGTATGTCCATTATTAGGCGAGACGTGCCAAAAGAAAGCTTTTGCTGAAATGATTTTACCTAATTCTATGAAACTTTACATCGCGCAATTGCATAGCGAAAAATCAGAATATTTTCGTATTGATTCACCTATGTGTGTGCAAGATCCGTATGATCTCTCACATAATTTAACAAAGGCTGTGTCAATTTTAACGCTTAAACGTTTTAAACATTATTGCAATGAAAGTTTATCAGTATTACCTAGGGTTATTGTTGACTCATAAAAGAAAAGATATTTTATTAGATAAAATTATCTTTTTTAAGATATATACATTTTTAAGAGTAATTTTGTATAAGAAGTAAATTATTTTTATTTCTTTCGACTGATATAATGTTTATAATGAAACATTGCAAATATGAAATTAATAATCTTATGTATATGTGTAATAAGGTTGTATCTGATATCTCATTTATAATGCTTGCAATACGCATTATAATCATGATAACTAATTTTTTAAAGGATCGCAAATATTATTATAAAATAACATTTTTTAAGAATGCAATTTTAATTATTCGTTTCATAGTTTTAAAGTGAAGGGATCAATTATATTTGCACAGATACTTTATATAATTTAATTTTTATATGTAATGTGCATTTACACGAACTTCTCTTGTATTTAATATTAATGCAAGATTTGATTTTAATATTAATCTAGATTGTTGACTGTAAAGTTTTTATTGATATAATCTTTTTTTACATTTTGCCTGCTGAAAATGAAAGGAAAATCACGATTGCTATATTTGATTTTACTTTATGACTTATTATAACTTTAATAGTTGTATCATAATATAGATATCACAATAAGTCTGCCAGTATTCTAACGATAATATCATTATATTATATAATGTGATTCTTAAAACAAATGGTACTTTCAGAAAACAATTACCTCATAAAAGTTCGATATTTTTATAACATATTTTTATATACAAAAGCAAATGTATAAACTATATTATATTTGTAAACTGTGGCCCGTACTCAGAACGCGCTTTTATCTCTGAAATTCTATAATATGCGTGACGTAAAGTATCGTATATTAGCGCGCTAACATCATTGTAAGCGCGTTCTGAATACGGGCCTATGTGTATGTTGTTGTATTTTATACTTTGTAATATTATAAGTGCGTTTAGGAATTAACGCTATTAGCGTTATTTGTGTCATTTTATCTTTATCATACATTAGACTTAAAACAAGAATAAAATGACACACATATATATATATATATATAGGTAGTATATCATTAAAGTAATTTCTTTGTCGGATAAACTATAACATTATAAAATGACGCAGTAAACATTGATTAATAAATACATAAAGAAATGTTCTCTAATTTTTTAAATAAACTACTTTTTTATAACAAAATAAGATGTAAGAGAAAGAGGCGAAAGACTTCTAATGTATATCAAATAAAGTTCAGTGTTATAGTTATGTACTTTGATTTATTCTCGATTCACTTTCTTCCTGTACAATATCTTGCTTCCATATATATTCTTTTATATACTTATTCTTAGGTACGCAAGATTGTTTACATGTGAAAACTGCCAATATTCCCCAATCAAGGCACTTGATAACATCTTTTAGGTCGAGAAAATTTAATAGTTGCGGCATTATCTGTAAATCATTTTTAATTTAGATAGAAATATGACATTTTGTTAAATAGAAAAAAATTTTATTAATTTTAAATATGCAAAACTTATCTGATTTTATATTATAAAATTTAACATAATACTTTCAAACTTCATTCAGGATTATCCAGTATATTTCAAGACAAGACTATATGGAGTATAAGATTTATATGGAGTATTTATGTTTTAAGTTTAGTCAGTTCTTATATTTAAGACAGCTTGTTTAAGTACAATCTTGAGATATCATAAACAAAACAAAGAGATGTATTAACATCTTAAGACACTTAAGACAGTTCTTAAGATAAGAACAGACTATGAATATTGATCATAGTTTACATAATTTACATTATATACACGCGTGCATGTATACAGAGAGAAAGATAGAAAGACAAATTACTGTATTTTATAGTAAACACACAACTCTGACTCAATTTATATATGAATGAACATACTTGAAATTCAAACTGCCTATCACCATTGCATTCTGGACATTTTGGTACATCTGTTATCTGACCATGTGATGAAATATACAAAACTTTTCCTCCTCTATCATATCTATCAAATAAATATGAATTAGGCTGTGACTATAAATTTAATTTTTTTAAGTGACATACCTCAAAATCTGATCTGGATAATTATCTATTTTTAGACGAAACTCTGAAAATGTTTCATCCTTTTCATTGTTAGCCATCTGTAATAAATCATCGTTAACATCTTCATTCTGAAATGTTCCAGCTTTGCCATCCTGTATCATCGCATTGTATTTTTCAATTTCCTTCTCTTCGCTATTGGAATCATTCTGGTCGACTTTTTCCATCGCAGTGTTGTCGCTTTCTATCACGATTTCGTATTCGGGAAACAGAAAACTATTGTCATTTTTTGCTTCCGTACCACATACATCTTTATGTCCATTTTTCCAGTCATGTACTTGATGCACACGGGAACAATAATTGACCACTTTGCATTTGCCACAGTGATTATGCGCTAAAATTCCACACACGCGACATGTTTTTGCCCACTGAGATACATCTGCAAAATAAATCATTGCTTGTATATTTTTATTAAAATCATAGTTATTAGTTATATAGAAAAATAGCTTGTATAGCAATACCGATATCCGTTCCCCAGTCCTTCTGTTCCACAGGTGGTTCAACTGGATAAAAATCGTTCATTCTACTTATCGGAAGACCTTTAGGTTCCCATTCTGATTCGGTCTGCAACAATCTGCGTTTTTGCACACGAAGATATAAATAGTTCTGTGAAATGCATTGGAATCTTCTTCATACGGTGCATAGATTTGACAGAGAAATACGCAGGGATCACCGCAGTACTCGCATTCCAAGTCGCCTTTGCCGAGAATATTTTTCAGATCGAGCCAGGCCGGCTTACCACCTGCTTTACTGGGGAAGAATCGGCTCTCGAGTAGCCAGTTCTCGCATTTCTCTACAAATCCCAAATCGACTGCCATGCCTGAAATCATCAGAAAAAAAACCTTTATCGAAATTGCATATCAATGACAAAATATGTTGTCAATTCGGAAATAAATAGTGAAAGTGAAAGAGAAAACGAGCACTCATCCAAAACTCCAACGTCAAACGTCAAACTATACCTGAGTGACTGTACCCACGTGGGGAGCTTTCCAATAACCCCGGATCTACAATAGAGTTTTAAGCCTAAAGCGGGGAGCACAGACTCTTGCATAACGCATAACACGTAATGCATAAGAAAATGTACCAATCAAAGCCCTCCGTTTCCTTCCTTTCCATGAAATAAAGAATTCTGATTGATTGAATTTCTTATGCATTACATGTTATGCGTTATGCAAAAGTCTGTGCTCCCGCTTAAAGGCCGCAGCACAGACTCTTGCATAATGCATAACGCACAGTGCATAAGCAAATCAACTAATCAGAATTTTTTATCGACATCTAGAATGGACCGCTGATGGCAATGGTGAGGGTAGAAAGACGATTAGAGTGAGAGGCAGGAATAATAAGATCGTTCTTTCTCTGTTTACTGAAGCCTGATTGGTTGTTGTTAATCCAACAGTAGTGCCAATTATTAACAACAACCAATCAGGCTTCAGTAAACAGAGAAAGAACGATCTTATTATTCCTGCCTCTCACTCTAATCGTCTTTCTACCCCCACCATTGCCATCAGCGATCCATTCTAGATGTCGATGGAATCTTTCATTTCCTCCCATTCCATGGAAAAGAAGAATTTCAATTGGTCGATTCCCTTATGCACTATGCATTATGCAAGAGTCTGTGCTGCGGCCATTAAGTCATAAGAAATGGACGAATCACAGTCGATTATTCTCCTCGAATTAGACTGTAATTGGTCAATTTCTTACGACTTAATTTTGATCATATGATCTATTTTGACGCTGAAAATGAGCGTCGAGCGTCAGTATGAAAAGATACCTTTGTAGCGCTGCTGTTGCGATCTTCGGCACTGCCATCTACCGTCTATACCTCTCGATATTACGTTGTATTGTTGAATATGCAGTATATGTTGATATCTGTCACTATCAGTGCTTTTATAAGGTTAGCTTATTTGTTCAACCGCGGAAGTCAGCGGAATCCCTGCGTTTTACGAGAGCCGCGACGAGGATGACGTCCTGTTTCGAGAATATGCAGGTGCCGTCCTGCGTCTGGTTTGAAGGCGGCGAGAAGAGAAACGCGCTCGTCTCGATGCTTGCGGGCACACTGGTAAATCCATGGGTTTTCACACCCACGACATTTTTGCCATGATAAACAACACATATACTTCTCATAAATACATTTACCGATAAACAACGATTTCTAATATGCTCTCTTGCCTTTCTTTCGTTCTTCACCGAGTCTCGGAATATTGTATGATATATTGTAGATATTAATTTTGTACGAAGGTTGTATGCTTTCAACGGTTTGCATTTCTCAGATTAATTTTCCTCCTGCAGCCAAAAATCTTATCGAAACGCTGTTTCAGTTTTTCGTAGGATGGTGGTTTATAATAGACGCGCATGCGAAATATCCTGATGAAATGTCAAATGCATATCATGTTTGTGGAGTATTCGGTACTGTATCACTCTTCATGTAAGTAATATTAGTAGTATTATCAATAGTACATATAAACTTTGGCCAAAAATATTAAGTACCATTATTTAAAGTTTGAGCTCAAAAATTGATTTATGGCATTTGCTGTAAATTATCCTTACCTTAACAATACAGGTAAAAAAATTATTCCAGATAAATGAAAAAATGTAGGCATCTAATATTTTTGGTCAAAGTATATTGCGATAAAATGTATAATCAGCAATAGAATTCGTGTTGTATGGTATATATATATATATATATAATGTTATTGATTTGAAAAATAATTCGATATTCTTTTAGGGTTAATTCAGTGACAAATGCACAGATAAGAGGAGAAGCTTACAACGGCGGTTGTTTAGGAGCAAGAGGTGCTCGAAGTTGGCTGTTTATTGGGTTCGTCATGGGATTTGCAGCGGTAATAGCAGCCTGTTGGATCTTGTTTGCCAACTTTGTAGCAGCAGGTAGTTGTAACGGTGTAATACATATGTAAGTCTATTCTTGTCATTGCACTGGACTGCATTGAAACTTTCACTGTCGCCAAACTTCAAATATATATTTATTTCATTTTAAATACAACTAGTATAAACTAGTTTGGCTACAAAGAATAGACTTCATATATTGCAGAATTATAAAGATACAGTTGTATCTTTAATAATTGTATTTAATCTCTTATTTTCTTTATTTGTTATATTTAATATCTTTTTATAGGCGCGCCACATCATTGGCCAGGAGTAGGGTTGTTCTTGCAGAATATATTCATTTTCCTGGGCTCGCTCACATATAAATTCGGTCGATCCGAGGATCAATGGGGTTAAATAAATGTGTATGCTGTTGGTGTAAAATATTTTTATTGCCGCATAGTCAAATTGGCAAGCAAAGCTCAGCTGCAGAAACTCACAACATCAACATTCGAGTGTGAAATTAAATTCGATTGCAACAAATTATTGTAAACATTTCCTTATACATGTAACAATTTTTATTTATATCTCTCAGAACAGTGAAAATAGATAGCAATTACAAGTTACAAATATGCATATATATATATATATAATTTACTGTAAATGTAAGGAGATTAGATTATCGACTTTTGTGTGATAGAATTATATACTACGCTACGCTAATAATTTTTAATCACATTGATAACTTTTCGATCTATGCATTATCAAATCCCATATTTATACATCTTTCTCATTGTTTCGTTTATATCTTTTATTTGATACTTTTACAAGAAAGATAATCACAAATGTCTGATATATTGAAGTTAAATAAATGAACTATGTTCCAAGAAAAAAAAAGTTTTTAAACATTGATTTATTGAACAAGATTTAACTTCATCAAAGTAAGTACTTTCCTTCAATACGATTAATTTTTTTGTTTAATATACATTCTTTTTTACAAATCAGTTTGAATAAATTTTAAAACCTATTCACACATAAATTTGCAGAGCATACAAGAATGTGTATAAGATGGAATTTTAATTAAATTTTAATTGTCAAGTAATAGTTGGAGTATTTTATTAATATGGACAAATTAATTCTTTATCATTGATGACATGTGAGAAAAGACATTATAGCGAATTCGGTCACTAGATTAGTGCATACTAAAGAATGTTGTACATACATGAAATTAGCAAATTAAATGTAAGAGCATATATAAGCATTTTAAACAATTAAATATCCAATAATATTGTTTGTATTATTTCACTGTCAAAGTTGATTATATTATGCCACTGCATTTAGATATTATATTTAAATAAAGTAGTTTTTATATGTATATGATTTGTGCGTGCCTGTGTGTAGTAATCCAGTACGGTGACTGAATTTATTATTAGATTATAAATAAAAAAGTATAAAAAATTTTTACCTTAAACAATCCTGCCGGAATTTATGCATATTTAAATTATTCATGTATTAAGTTAATAAAATTTAATCAAAATTACACAGAGAAATCGATTTATCTATTATTATTATCTTTAATAATAAATAAAAAGTCAGAAGTTAGAAATTGACCAATCGTCGATTATTTTTCTTATAATCGACTGTAATTGGTCAATTTCTAGCTTCTAATTTATTATTGGATCGACCTTAAGGCTAATCTATGATGTGCTCTCTGCATTATGTTTCTTTATCACCTGAAATAAAATTTAATGAACTCCGAAAGAGACAAGAAACACAAGATTGTCAATAAAACGGTCACGAAGGGGAAAAAAGGGCAAGAAGAAAAAAGTAAAAAAACAGATAGCAAAGAGCACATTGTAAATTAGCCTTTAGAGTCCATATCCCTATTTTCCCTGCTAATGCCCTCAGAAAAATTGGTGTCATTGGCGTGAATTGCGCGATACAATTGGCTCCAATTTGCCAACGCGGACCAACGGCAGACGGAATGCTTGTGCCGCGTTCGGCCAATCGCAACGTGCCACACCAACACATGGTGCTCGACGGCACAGAATTCCACGGAGAGTGGTCGCGGTGGAGGGTGTCACGCTCGGCTTTTTGTTGATTTAAAAAGGACTGCGATGCGCGAGCGTGTGTTCTGAATGGTGTACAGCTGAGAGCCGTTTCCCCTGAGTACGTCGTGTGTCGTCGCAAGACCTGAGCTCAAGGTGAGCGCGCGTTAATCCGCCCGCTTTCCCGATCGACGTGCCTCACGTCGCCGGTATTCATAACCAAGTTTGACAGCTAGACAGAGCATGACAGTACGTAGATCTCGTGCCTCGATCCGCGTGAGCGTGCACGTTAACATTTTTGAATTCTCGTATGGATTTCCTTGTCGCGATCTTACTTCACGTCTGTTTCGACTTCCAGATGGGATTCTCACAGAGAGGCATGTCAATGGCTTCACTAGCCTTACTCATAATCGCCACCTTCGTCGGCATCAGCGAAGAACTTGCCGTTATGAGCATCGACCTTGGTAGTGAATGGATGAAGGTTGCTATTGTCTCGGTACGTGTCATCTGTTTGTAACGAATTCAACGGACTGACGGTTTTTGCATTAGAAAGGCTGCATTCAGCAGAGAAAGCAGCTTTGCAACTGTTATACGACTCTTTAATATGACTGGTCTTGCCCTTAATCTTCCAACCAAATGTATAAACCAATTATATAAAAAAATTTTACAACAGTTGCAAAGCTTACTTTCTCTGCTGGACACAACCAAAGTTTCATTAATCAAATATAACTGTTACATCTTTATATTAAAAAAAAAATAAGCATGTTTCTTATGAAATACCTCCGTTATTTTTTGATCCGCAGCCTGGTGTTCCTATGGAAATAGCTTTAAATAAGGAATCAAAGAGGAAAACACCGGTCACAATTGCGTTCAGGGATGGAGAGAGATCGTTTGGCGAGGATGCTCAAGTAATCGGTGTGAGATTTCCTCAGAATACTTTCTTCTATATTTTAGACCTTCTAGGAAAACCTATAGACAATCCGTTAGTACAACTCTACCGAAAAAGATTTCCTTACTACGACATCATTGCTGATGATGAGAGGAAAACCATAGCGTTTAGATTGAATGAAAACACGACGTATACTCCGGAAGAGTTACTCGCACAGATATTGCACAAAGGCAAAGAGATCGCAGAAGCTTCCGCTCATCAAAAGATCAATGAAGCTGTTATCACCGTGCCAGGATTCTTCAATCAGGCTGAAAGGAAGGCATTGATTCAAGCGGCAGAACTCGCCGATTTGAAAGTGTTACAGCTCATAAACGATTACATGGCAGTAGCTTTGAATTACGGCGTATTCGGTAGAACTGAAATAAACGATTCCGCTCATTATATTATGTTTTATGACATGGGAGCTAGCAGCACGACTGCGACGGTCGTCAGCTATCAAAACGTAAAGACGAAAGAAAGGGGTTTCCTCGAGACCAATCCTCATGTTGCCGTGTTGGGCGTGGGATACGATCGCACGCTTGGAGGATTAGAAATGCAAATCAGATTGCAGCATTATTTAGCACAAGAGTTTGACGCTCTTAAAAAGACGCCGAACTCTGTGTTCAAGAGCCCGAGAGCGATGGCGAAGCTCTTTAAAGAAGCTGGACGCGTCAAAACTGTACTTAGTGCCAACGCAGACCACTTTGCCCAAATAGAAAGTTTAATAGATGATATTGACTTCAAGTTGCAAGTCTCAAGAGAGAAGCTGGAAGAAATATGTGCCGATTTATTCGAACATGTAGCGAATCCTGTAAAGATTGCATTGGAAACTTCAGGTGACCTACCTTTTTGCAGAACACTATCATGATTCTTACAAATATGTATTTAATCACTAAACGTATTTACGTAAAATTATTTCAGGTTTGACAATGGATATCATATCGCATGTTGTATTGGTGGGGGCAGGTACTCGCATGCCAAAGGTACAAGAGACATTGTCCCAATATGTAAAAACAGAATTATCAAAAAATGTAAATACGGATGAAGCAGCTGCTTTAGGAGCTGCGTATAAAGCAGCTGATCTTAGTCAGGGTTTTAAGGTCAAGAAGTTTGTCACAAAAGATGCTTTGTTGTTCCCTATTCAAATCACATTTGATAGAACTGTTGATAATAAAGTTAGACAGGTAAAAGATTATTATATGATATTTAACTTTTTTATATATTTTAATCCTTCATATTAAAGAGCAATATATATATTTTTTTTTTCTTTTCAAAATTTATTTTTATATAGGTGAGGAAGACGTTATTTGGCAGAATGAATCCTTTTCCACAAAAGAAGATTATTACATTTAATAAACATACAAATGATTTCGATTTTCATGTGAATTATGCTGAGTTAGATTATTTGCCCGTTAGTGAGGTAATGTAAGTATCTACATCTATTATTTATTTGTAATACTAGGAACAAGTTAACACAAAACAGATTAATGTTATTTTAAATATCAAAATTTTCGTACCTTCTAAAAATTATAGAGTTTGAATTTTTATAGTTCTATTGGTGATTTACATTTATCTACCATATCGCTGAATGGTGTAGCCGAAGCTTTAGAAAAGCATGCCAACGAAGGCGCCGAGAGTAAAGGAATCAAAGTGCACTTTAATATAGACGATAGCGGCGTACTGAATTTATTGACTGTAGAATTAGTTTCCGAAAAATCGAGTACTGTTGATGAAGAAGAGGGTACTTTCTCAATACTTGGCTCAACTATTAGTAAATTCTTTGCAGGTTTGTGCCGAAGGCAATGCAAAAAATGATACTATTTGTTTTGTTGCATGTTACGAATCACAATTTTGATAATATTTGCACTATACTGGTTCTTCTATATATTCGATTGATATATATTGAAGAACTGTTTTATTTCTCAAGGAAAGACTTGTGTGTTATTTTTATAATTAAAAATTAAAAAGTTATTTCATGTTACGTTTTGAAATCATTTTTTGCAAGCATTTTTATATCAAGGAATAAATAGATGCTTTAAAAAAATAGATAGTATTATCACTGAGCAGGGCTTAGATTTTGTTGTCGTTAACAATTAAACTTTTGTAGTAATACAAATTCTAAAAATTTATACATTAATAGAATAATTTATGTTAATAGAAAGATTCTTCTTGTATTAACGGTAACATTTTTTATTCATGGAATATTCGTGTCAATTATTCCATTATATAAGGTGTAATTTTGAAGGCAAGTTAAAGTTTGCACAATTAGTTGTCAATGACATAAAACTTTAGGCCCTGATTATGCAAGTATGGAGAGAGGCACATTAAATGAAGTCTCAATTTTTCAGGTTCTTCTTTAGAAAAAGAAACGGTGGAAAAGACAGAGGAACCGCCAAAGGAGGATATAAAACCAGTGCATGAAGAGCCAGAATTTTCGGAATCGACAAAAGAGACAGACGAGAAGGAGAAAAAGAAAAGTGAGACAAAAGTGAACGAAGATAAGACTGCAAATAAAACCGAGAAGGCGGACAAAGAAAAGAAAGCCACGATCGTTCAAATTAAAGAACCTATCAGTTCGAAAGAGGTCAAATTAGGATCACTAATCTTGTCCGGTGAAAAACTCACAGAATCTCGAGACAAGTGAGCACAAATATATTTATTTGCAATGTGAAATAATTGAGAAATTATTTCCATCTTTAATATTCTGCTAATTTAAATTTATTAAATAAAAATGTTACTGTAACTTTAATTTTTTTATTGCCACTATCTCTTTTCTCTTAACAAACAAATATAATCGGCATAATTATGATATATAAATAATTTCTACTATTTTACTAAAATTTTATCTTTTTTTTCTTTTAGGATACATCGTTTGGATGTGCATGATTCAGAGAAAACGCGTCGTGAAACTGCGTTGAACAACCTTGAGTCATACGTAATCGACGCGCAGCAAAAGTTCAATTCCAAAGAATTTTCGGACGCGGCTACCGACAAGGAGATCGAAGAGATTCGAAAAGCGTGCGCCGAGATCTCTGAGTGGTTATACGAGGACGGATTCACCGCGACCGCGGAAGTGTACGAAGAGAAGTTGATGGAACTCCAAAAGTTAACCAACGACGTTTACGAGAGAGTCTCAGAGTACCGAGATCGGCCGGAGGTCTTAAACGGAATGGTTTCACTACTCAAAGGCAGTAGATTGTTCCTAGAAAATATGCGCAATTTGAGTCTAACAAGTGAAATTATTACGTCTATTGAAATCGAGACGTTAGAAAAAGCGATCAATGAGACACAGGTAACGATTAATTTTTAATATCTAAAGCGATTTTTTAAATTGAAACACGCTATTATTATATGTTTATAATATTAGTGTAATAAAAAAAATAATATTTTAGGATTATTATGATATGATTTCGAAATACTTCGTGGATGCTCCGCTAAATATACCAGTAAAATACAAGATCCGTCAAATCGTAAATAAAATGGATCTACTTGATAGAGAAATTAAATACCTTCTGAACAAGGTAAAAATTTGGAAACCGAAACAAGAAACTACGGCGAATCAAACGACTGATAGTAAGGACGAGCGCACGATAGAAGAAAATAAAGAATCTGCAACCGATTTTGATACTAAAAATGACAAATCTGCGGAAGAACAACCGTCCGACAATGTGGAAGAGCAGCAGCAAGAACCGATACCAGAAACAACGGATACCACACAAGATCCGTTACAACTACCAGAAAGCGAGAAACTAACTAAAGAAGAAGTTCAGAAAGAAACGCATAATGAACTATAAAAAATAATTTATTTAAAAGTGTGATTCTGTTGTTGATCGACGATACTCGTCGATTTAGGCAATTTTTCTGTAGATTATTTTCATCAGATGCATTTAAGACCGAAGCGGGAATTCTCTTGTGCGTTGCCGATGTATAAGTTATTCTGCGAATGTGAATATAAGCTGTTCCATTTAATTAATAATATGTATCTATTTATACAAGGATATGGTTTTCACCGTTCATTCATTACATAAATAGTTTTGCAAAATTGTCGATCTTATCAAAGATAATTATGTTACACAAGTGCGAAGCGATAACAGATTGTGACAATTTATTTGTTTGATACGCGAACACGTATAAAACAGGCCAGTGTGAGATTTATCTTGAATTTTTACAGTATAAATTTGTGACTTTACATGTAAAATGCTTCTGCTGCAAGCATATGTTTTAATTATATACTATCATGTGAAATTGCAGTATAAAGCATACTATTGCTTGTAAAAACACGAATGATGAGAACATGCATAAAATAATTTTTGTTCATAAAACAATTCTTGCATATCTTTCAGAAAAAACGGATCTTTTCTTTCGGGGAATGTAGTTACAAGTCTTACGTTCTCGCAAATGTATATGTATATCAGTAGTTTTCAAATGAATTTGTCACATTTCCTATATATATTGCATTGATTTGTATCATCTTTTTTATAAACGACAATTCACATAAGTCTATTTTTTCATTACTTACGATATCATAGTAAACAGGTATGACATATTTCTAATAATCTATTTCTTGAAGGAGTGAGATAGAATGTATAGAATATTGATTATTTTGTAAATGAATATAACGATTTACACGATGTAAGATAGATAAAAAATAACCAGTTCCTTGAAAAGTATATAAGATAAAATTGTTTCTTTGACACAATTTAGATGAATTATTTGAAAATCACATAATGTTCTATTGCCAAATTAAAGAAATTATTATTCAAATTTATAATTATAAATTTAAATATTATTCATATTAATTTGAACTAATAAAAAATATAAAAGAGAGAGAGGTGTGAAAGGAAAGATATTGGAATAAAGAAACAAAATGTATTGTGTATTTATGACAAAAAGTATTTATGATAAAATTTTTTTTTTATTGAAAAATTTAGTTTTTCGCGGATAAAAAAATTAAATATTCCAATCACAGATCTTCATATTTTCTTCCAATCTTCTTATTTTTAATCGGTTGAATTTCTATAAATTTAATTTCTCCTCATTTCTCTTTATCAGCTGACTTTACTAGTGAGGTTAGGTACACAGTATCGTCTGCATTTTTCACTCGCGCTCTTCGAAAATTTCTCTTTCTAAACATTAAAAATCAAAACATGTTTTTATTTAAATTAAATTGTAGAATATATGAGTGAAGACTTTAAAGGAAAATTGAGAATAGAGAAGTTGCCAGAAATTGTCGATCCTAATAAATTAAAAAAAAAAAAAACGTGATTAGACTATACATTAACCTTTGGAGCTGATGGTGGGTCTATATTGGACTAATTATAAATCTCTATCAAAATTGTCAATTCATTTTTTTTTACATTACATTTGAAAATTTGAATTATTCTTATTAAAATATACTTAATATTCTTTCGTTTTTTTTATATGAGTTATACCATTTTGGTTCCTTGAAATTAATTAGTATCTTTTAATTAACATAAATAAAAAAGCATCAGTAATTGTGTTACAGATTTTGGTATCAGCTCCAGAGAATTAATTATATTGTTAACAAGTATGGCAATGCGTCAAATTCTCACAAAATTATGGAAAAATATTAGTCCTGCCATGGTGAGAATACAATTCAGGCGGTATTTTAATTTCCATTTTTAATTACATTAAAAGAAACTCATAATTTATTTGCAGTATACATCAGGTATGTTATTTGCATATTGTACCTCATTCGACAAGCCTAGTGAAAATGAGAAGTTGAAACTAGACCCTCCAGACATAAAAAAGCTAACCCATGAGTACATGATAAAACAATCTGCGTTGGATGCTGCTAATAGTGCAACTCAGGCATTAACTGTCACGTATATAGCTATAATAGATCTGAGCATCGCATACAGGTATAAAAATAATAATATAGGTCTAGAGGAAAATAAGATATCTCTGTGATAATGTTTATTATGATAATTTTGTAGAATATTATTGAACGAACTTATTTCTCTTCTCGAAGAAACTATAATACACAATGTAAATGATGCACACTGGGATCTGATTGTGGAAGTACGAAATGAAATGCAAGACAAGAAAGAAAAGATTACGGTAATAAAGAACTGTTTGAGAAACTATAATTCTTATTCGATATAAAATTTTAAATATTAAATATCACAGTCCAAGTAATTATAATCAAAATAAAAATTCAATTATACAAGAAAATACATTGCATTATAGAACACATATTGTATCATAAAAATTTTATAAAATTATACAAGTTAAATGCAATTTCTTTTTCAATTAGCGCTTAGCTACCTATATGGATTATGTGCATAAAATGGCAGTAGCTAGCGCAGGATTAAGTTATATGTGTGGGATGGATAGTTTGACCAGTACACTTCAACAGAGGATAGAGGATGCATTAGGTAAGGTAAAAGCGGAAACTGACAGCAATACAGAGTTGGAACGAACATACTGGTGTATACAGGAACAGTGCATCAAAGGCAGCAAAGAAAATATCGAGAAACAATAAATTTTTATAGGAAAGAGTCCAACATTCTCTCTCAAAGTACGTTTTATTTGGTTCTTAAAAAAATTAAAAATAATTTGTATCATTATGTATCTATATTAATAAACAATTTTTTTCACATTTGTTAATGTTTTGTATATCGTTAATGTTAATCTCATTTAATTATTTTCTTTTTTCCTTTTCATTAAACATACTAGTCTATTGTATTAAAGTTGTATGAGATATTAAAGAATATTTTATTCTTAAATATTTCTCTTATGATCTAGAATTCATAACATCTTTATTATAAAAATATAATTCGAATAAAGCGTGCCTCACCTAATCTCTTTAATTTAGTCATGTATTCAAGAATTGTACGACTTTTTCATTACATTTATAATATTTTCAAGTTTGCTTTAATAAAATGAATAAGATGTAATATAAATATGTTTAATATAAGTAGGAGATGTATCAACAAACGTACATCATTAACAGTAAAATTTATACCTTTCGTTTTTTGCAAACCTATTTGTATCACAAAGATAAAGTTTTTGAAGTATCAAGACATATATACATATGCAAATAACTCACATAATTCAACACACAGCACACACGTCAATATAATAAATAAACATAGGAAGAGAATATTTACAGACTTGCAAGAGCAGCGCTGCTTCAAACATCTAAATGAATCGAGACAATATGTCGACCGGGCACCATCACCAAGCCCAAGACTCTTGCTTCTGTGTGCTCCATAGACAAATACTCGGTGCACGAACCCAAAATAACGTTGGCATCACGATCCGTACACAAGAACGCTCCTCTCAACACCCTACCGTCAGTCATTTCAATACGTAGATGTCGATTCAGCCAGCTCCTTAACTTCTGCTTGGCTGACGACTCTTCAGAGATGACTGCCTGCTGGAATCATAAAGTAGAGCGTTAAGAATATAACAAATACTTCTAGGAAAACTTTGTTCTTTAGAAACTTCAACTCTTTATGTAATTACGCTTGTAAGATTACTTGACAAGTTTTATAAAGGATACTTATATTTAAAAAAAGGTACATGCATTTATACAAATGCAATCTGCTTTAAGTACAATCTTAAGATGCCATAAGTTAATCATAGAGCTATATTAAAACATTACTTAAGATGACATTAAAATAAAAACCAACTATGAATATACTACAAAGCTATATCTTTTATTTATCATATTACAAGTTACATTAGTATTTTCCAACAAGAGATCCAGTGTAATACAGTGTAATATAGTGATCATTTCATATTTGACATTGGCAAACAATTAAAATTTAATGATTCACTGTGTAATACTGTTATCTATGTCTCTCGCAGAAAATTATCCTACGTGTAAAAACTCATTTTACCAGGATCCTATCATATAATTAGTGCAAAGTCCTTTGAATTATTAATTATCATTAAAATAAACTTAGTATTCATTCTTTTTTATGAGTTATGTTATTTTGATTCCTTGAAATTAATTAGTTAACATACTTTTAATCAATAATATATCAAATAGCTAATGGGTTTCACAGATCCACTATTACTATGTTACATAACTATGTTACAGATTTTGGCAGATTTGTCAGCTCCGGAGAATTAAATAACAAAATGTGAAGAGAATAATGTAAAGAATTAATACATGATGTATTAATTCAATCAGGTTTCAGTTTGTGAAACATAACCTACGTGCATAACAAAAATCGATAAAAATCCAAAATAATTCTCATGAGAAAGATATCGTTTTTTTGCAAAATAATAGGAGGTACTGTGAAAAGTCAGGAAAGATAAATAAAGGGAGAAGAGTCACCGCTTATAAAATTACCTCTTCATTCCCGTGAACATGCTCGTTGTTCACGACATTGCTCAAATTATGCACCGTCTCCTTCATACTCGCGCTCATCGCACACTCGTTATTTATTCTCATTCACGAATAACAGGATGAATTTCAAACGAACTGTCGTACCGCACTCCGTACACTACCGTGATTTATGGCTAGCTCACGATTAAGTACGGAGTACGGTTCAAATTTGTTTTGGATTTCTTCGCCGAGATCATGGTGGAGGACAGGTGAGACAACTTGAGGAATGCACAGTAGGACCAAAATTACGGCAGTAATTAGGGTGAGTTCTCATGGAGAAGGAAAAGATGGAATAGAACAAGAATAAACGGAAAGAAAACATCCTTAGGCCAATTAAAATTAAAGAAGGAAAGGAAACACGACAGTATGAAAAGGCACTTTAGCAGTCGAATGTGATTGTTTTTTTATTTTTGAATTTAATTTTCGATTGTGTTACTTTACTCACTCAGTGAACGATTAATGTACCGAGTACACCTATTAGGCCTCTTCTTTTTGGCTAAACTTTTGCACCAGCTCGTCTTCCTTCCTCTTCTTTCCTCCTGGAGAGAAAAGGAAGAAAGATGACTGTTGCAAAAGTTCAGTCAAAAAGAACAGGCCTAAGAGCTATTGGCTGCGTTCAGCAGAACGTTTGTTTTGCAACTGTTGAAAGTTTCCTTCGCGCTAATTGGATCATACTTTTAGATCTAGAAGAATGGTCCTATCTCAGCAGACAATCATAAAACGGTTGCAAAACTGTTGAGTCTGCTGACCCCAGCCATTGTCACCAAGCTCAGTTAACTTAACTGGGCCAATCTGTCAATTCTTCAAACAAAATGACAAATGCGATTGGTCAATTCCAATGGATTAACTGGCTAGTTAAGTTAACTGAGCTTGGTGACTATGGCTACGTTTACACCGTGCATTTAGGCCGCGACCTATACGATAGATGTCCTTGTTTATCCTGTAGGTTAAACAAAGACACCTCTATCGTATAGATCGCGGACTAAGCGTACGGTGTAAACGTAGCCAGGGGCCCTAAGGAAGAAAAATGAACTGGTGCAAAAGTTCAGGCCTTCAAAAAGAACAGGCCTAATAACTATAGTTCTCTTCTTTAAAGACTCCACCGCCACGTCTATTCTAGTATGACCTCGCCGCGGTAAATTTAGGAACGCACTTGGCATAATCACCTGTACATGTCTGCGGTAGTGACAGCAGAACCGGTGCATTTCTTAACATTTTGCTACGTGTCATGTACGCAAATCTGATTTGCACCAGGAACTGACGAGCGTGGATTTGTCTCCCCGTGCTCCTTTCTCAAATCTCACGTCCAGTCGCCTCGTGCGTCTTCAAAGGTAGTGGCATCTTGGCGATTTTAAATTGAGACAGCTCTAGAAAGTCGCGTGAACAAAAGTTCTTGAATCGGCGAACGCTCCGAAACATATGCGTGACGAATACGATCACACTCTGCGATTGTTATCGCGTCGATTAAAGTCGGTTGATGTTTCTGTCGAAATATGAGAAATATTCAAATCGCTGACATTTTAAAAAATTTAATTGTCACTCTTTTCAGCAATTTAACACTATTCGTAAATTTATATATACCTTTTCAATATCGCTCATTGAAAAGATTTATCTTTATTTGAAAAATAGAAGAACACTTGCGTCTCAATACAATCGAGTAGACGAATGAATGCTTGTCTTAATACAGACGTGTTAATTTGCAGCTGTAAAATATGCGGCAATTAAAGGGGAAAACGAAAGAGACGAATAAACAGAAGAAAGAGCGGAAAAAGGAGTTCCTTGAAAACAAGCAGAGAGTGTTCACAGTTGTGTTGCCTACCATAGCTGCGATATTTGTGATAATAGCGGCATATATCTATGTTAAAACCCGTCCAAAACTCATGGAGTACTAATGACTGTGCCACTTGTCATCCATTCATTCAGATCAGATGATTGTGCTGTATCTCGACAATGCATAGACAATTCCGTGTTGTATTCTCATGATTCATATAAAAGTTTTTCTAAATGGAGGCATATTCCACTTCTCCCCAGAGATATTTCATACCTAAATCATATACTGGAAACAAGATGCCGTTTTTGTAAATTTCTGTATTGTTTAATTTGATAAGAAAATATTTTTCAAGTCAAGAATTATCTAATATATATTAAGATATATTAGATTATAATTATCAGATATAAAACTTAGGAATCAATGTTTTTTTACAAAAACATTAATGCATGAGAGAAGTTCGTTAATTATATTGCATTTCTAATAAACAATTAAATTTATTTACATCGAATAGTGTATATAAATTTACCTTAATTTGCGTCTTCCTTGATTCTTCTCTTTTCGTGCTTCTGTTTAATATGTTCTTGAAATTTCGTGGAACTATACAAATACAGAATTTTGTTCATGTAGTATTCTGACGTTTAATTTCTTACTGTATTAAATGTCACATGCGAAAAGTTCATATCTGTAAAACATGAATTTTATTAATTAATTAAATCAAATTGGAAGATGTTAGCATGTAAAACATTCGAATAATAAATATGGGTCCAATGCGATATAAAAATATATTTGTTATACATAAATAGTATTATGTGTGTTGTCTCTTCTCGCCTTCTTGCCAAGTGTTTTCTTGACTTTAAATTTAATTTAATATATATTCCCATCACACGTAATTATAACTAGTACCATCGGATTCCTCGTCTTATAAAGTATAAGAAATGATATTGATTTTATTTTTTACGAGCACAACAAAAACAGGCCTTTTTGTAACACTTCCTTGATTATAAAAATTAATTACATTTTAAATATTTTATTTTATTCAAACTGAAAATACAATTTAATGCCACTATTAAATGTAATACAAAAATCTTCCATTGTTTAGTGTAAAAATAGTGTAAATTATTTAAAAAAGATCGAAAAAGATATATATTATTCAAACTACAAATAATACATAAATATCAAAAGTACGGAAGAGGAATTTAGAAAAGATTGTTGAAAGATTCTTGATGATTTTTTTTAGCAATTAACACCCTGCAAGGCTTAAAGGCCCTTTTATTTAAATTTAAATCGTTAAAAGAATTAGGAAAAAACATGGGCAATAGGAGTCAAGCGCAGGTAAATAATACACCCATAAAGCGTAAAACTTCTTTATTCTACTAAACGCGTTTATTCTACTTAGCGCGTTTAGAATAAAGAAGTTTTATGGGTGTATTATTTGCGCAACATCTGCGTTTGACTCTTATTGCCCATGTTCTTTCCTAGTTCTTTTGATTTATAAGGAGCCTTTGTTAGTTTGATTTATTATACGGATTAAATCGTTAAACAATTACGTTGTTTCGAACTTGGGTAAACAAAGCAGAAAGACGAGCATCGCGCTGGTATCGGGACGCAGACGTCGCGGACACGTGGATGATAACCAATGGGGAGGCAACACGTATTCACGCCCCTATGTATTATCGCCGGTGACGGTTTCTTGCTCGATTGTGTCGTTAATTACTGCCGAGAGCACCGATCCATGATGGATTACACGGTGCATCTACTCTTTTCAAGCTTCGTAATAGTTTTGCTTCACATAAATTACATTCAAGGTATTCTTTACATTTATTTCGTAGAAATATGATTCTATAAATATAGAGTCAATAGGTTATGTTAGTCCCATCATTGAAAATGTCATTTCGTATCTTATCAATATGTATATTTTTTGCTTGATTTTATTTATGTTGATTGATCATATTCGCATTATAATTAACGCCAAGGATATTTTCAATTGCGTATGAATGTTTTTATAGTATAATTGACATACCTCAGTATCTTAATATAAGTGGAACACTGCATATGTAATAAACTTTGTCAAGTATATCTTAATTTGATACATACTTTTTATTACTTTTTATTACTTTAGCTAGAGGGACCCAACATGTAACATGCGGCTCTGTACTAAAATTAATGAACGTAGACTATAATGTAAGGTTACACTCCCACGAAGTAAAGTATGGTAGTGGCAGTGGACAACAATCTGTAACGGGTACCAATGCCAAAGAAGATGGTAATTCCTACTGGCTCGTTAAAGCTGAATCAGGAAAGCAGTGTTTGCGAGGGTAAGCTACGATTCATATTCACACATGTATTGATTACAATAATTTTTACCTTAATGATGATCTTTTCAATAGGAGGCCAATTAAATGCGGAGATATTATCAGATTGGAACACGTTGTGACAAAAAAGAATCTTCACTCGCATCTTGTTAGCTCACCTCTGACTGGAAAACAGGAGGTCTCAGCCTACGGGGATCACAAGGGAGAAGGTGATACTGGTGATAATTGGATGTTAATATGCCACAATGATTTTTGGGAAAGAGATGATACAATTATGTTGAAGCACATTGATACTGAAAAGTAAATATACTCTCTATAGATTTTTCAGACAGAATAGAAAATCCTCTATGGATTTTCACTATTTTCAGTATAGATAATAGATAGTACTGTTTAGATATTTAAATGATATTGTGTGTTTAGGTACTTGGCTGTCAGTGGCAGAACTTATGGTACTCCAATTAGTGGCCAGACTGAGGTAGTAGGCGAATATTCTTCAAGCAGTCCTCATACACAATGGTCTGTGATGGAAGGATTGTTTATTCATCCTAATGATTTCAAAGCACAGCATTATCAACATACAGAATTATAAGACAATTTTTATAACGGTAATTTAATTTAATCTGCAAGACATGTATATATGCATTGCAAAGAATGCGTAAATAAATTTGGGGAAAGTGCATCATTATTAGAGTAAATGTCATTAAATGACGTTTATTTCTTAAGCTCAATGTATTTGTTATAAAACTGTGCTTTCAAGATTTTCAGGATTGTTTGAGAAAAATTTACAGAATCAATTGCTTAAAGTTAGTGAATATAATTATATTGATTTAAAATTTAATATAATATCCTCAGTCCTACTATTACATTTTACACTATCATTATATTTAAAATCTTTATATTTGTGGTAATCATATGAATTAAATTAATAAGTAATTAAATAAATTAAAATCACACAGTATACCAAATAATTAAGAAAGATAATTATAATATCACTGTTAAGTATACATGTAAAGTAAATTGAATCAAATATAAAATATATATCCGAAAATGATTATTGCGGAAACAAAATAAATACAAACGCAAGTATTCTATATGTTTTATATAGAATACTTAGCCTCAACAAATTGACTTAGCCTCAACAAACATTAATTTTTAAATTAATCATCTAAGAAATATGTGAATTATTTATTACATGTGATCTGGATTTACGCATTATAAGGATACTTCCAAATACTATTCATGTATGAAAAGTGATATGCAAAAAGTGGTCTATTGTAATTACAAAAGTCATAAGTTTGGAAAAAAGTTGTGACCCATTAAGGAAGAATATCTATAGAATATCTATCTATATATAGACTTCATTAATATCCTAAAATATTCGATAATTGTAAAATGCCCTCATATCTGTGTTCTCTGTCATGTATGAATGCATAAGTATGTTGTACATATGACTGTATTTATTGCTACATAAGTATATAATAAAGAAATATGTGTTAGATTTAATCAGGATTCATTGTTTACTCGATTAGCCTTATACTTCCTTTAGTTCGTACTTGCCATTGATATCTCGCGTGCCTATGAGACCGTTATACGGAAAGATAATATTCGATAGACCGTAACTTCCAAAGATCTCCTTCAGATTTTGTCTTCCTATTACATTAACATAATGCTGTTTGCCGGTCAAACAACTGTGCAACTTCCATATGCCGAACACCAAACAGATACACAGGATTGACATCAGTGTATCGAATGTCGTGACTAAAAATATACTTGAAAACATATCTCTGGAACGCATCAGTCTCGCCAGGGCAATAGGGAAACAAAAGTTTAGGAATATATTGAAGTAATCCGCGTCGCTCTTCACTATACGATTAATGTTCTCATACATGTATGGGCCCAGCACGCACAGGGAATACAAGCATGTTAGCGAGGTGTAGAAACAAAATAGGATAAAGTTGCCCATGTTCTGGCGAAGTATGCAGGCACCCAGGAAGAAGCAATGATGATCCTTGAAGTGAAAGCACTTTTTACAGAAGACGCAGTGCTGCGTCGGTTTGCACATGTAACTTTGACACTTCTCGCAATGCCAGAACTTGTAGGTCGTGTTGTGCGTCGGCAGTTGCATACTGTTGGTCTGTTCGACTTTACGCTGTTGAGTGATCACGCTGAACAAGTTATTCTGTATCTCTTTGACCTTCATCGGATTTGACTTACAGCTGATGCTATACACCGAGTACCAGTTGAGATATACTTGCATACAGAGGAAGACGAAGATTGGCGAGACCTTCTCATTGATGTAAATCGTAATTGCAATGACAAATACAGTGGTCATCAACGTCACTAACGGACATAATTGTTTAACAATTTTCAGACAAGTTTTTATATACCGAGGCCGAGGCATACCTCAAAGATAAATAGTCTCTTTACTATCTATAATGTATAAAATCAATTTTCAGACATCTATTCGAGCATGAATCTCTTCGTTTTATACAATTTCTTCTGGTATTTATATTTCTGAAAAGATAATAAGTTTATCAGATAAATATTCTCAACGATATGATTCGTTCTTATTCCGATTTTATGTTAAGAAGAAATACATATTCTTCTTTAATATAAAGATACACAATTTAACATTGTTAAAAATCGTCAACAAACATTGTGTTATTAATTTTTGGCATATATAATCGTTCACGGACCTTAATCATAACCTCAAATTTATTCTCGTACGTTTCATTTAATTCAGTTTTTTATTTAATTCAACAGGTCGTAGCTATCTTCGAGATAAATACGATTATTTGTAACGACCAACAGTTGTCGTAGCATAATTTTCTCAAAAATGTTCGTATTTCTCACAACAACAACGCATCTTTTCACTAGATATCCCAACGTGCATTGTACATATGTCTATCATCTATGACATCTATGTATATCATGTAATACGTATATAATTACAATCGCATTGTTGATAAACATTAATAACAGAAGTATATCGATGCATATTCGCATAAAAAATAATCACATTGTCAAATCTGTTCAAAAGTTATCCCTTATATTGCGATTTTCTCAATATTTAGCTGTAATTTGAGCTTTCTTTTTTGTATTTTCCTCTCCAAAGTTACCCGGAAATTCTCCTACAATTTTGTATCTTTAAAAAATCTCCCAGTAAAAAGAAAAAAACCTCCAAATCTAGTAGAAATTTTACCAAATTGGCAACACACTAAACTAATTATGCCAGAAAGATCTCTCACTTCTAAGTAATAACAATCTTTGTATTAATATATTATTTAAATTAAAAAAATTAGGCTCTTCGCGGAAAATATTTCGGAGAGAGCAGAATGGATTTATGAGGATTTAATTACAAACAGATATATAACAGCTATATGCTATTTATTCTCACTATAAAAAAACACGGGTATATTTTACACAATTATGTTTATATAAGTTTTAAACGAGCGTTACAAAATGATAACAGATCTATGTTGAAAATATATGGTCAATCATGATTAAAAACAAGATAAAAACATAAGCAATTAATTGTAAATTAATCTTAAGTGTGATAGTGTTAAAAACTATTCGAAAAATAATATACAATAAGCTTTTTTTTTTTCTGAATAAATATTCGAATAATATCAATTAGAGACCCCATTTATATATACACATATATATATATCGGTCTACATACTATGAATTAATTAAAACATGTAGATAATAAACAAAATTTATCTTTGAATTTAGCTCATTGACAAATATTAATTTGAAATCTAATACACATTCTCTTTTACCTTTCTCTCTCTTTTCTTCTCTTAATATGTATACATCAATACAGACTTTTATACATATTGTACATACGTGTAAAATTATAAATATCTATATTAATTATTATGCCTATCTTTGTACATTTGTGTAAATAACAACGGTAAATATATTGAATGTATCACTCTTATACGAGAATATTATTAAAGCAGTCTTCAGCAATTATATAAATACACAATAATACAATTGGAATTTATAAATATATATAATAGAACAAATCTTCTAAAAAAAGGAGCAGAAAGAAAGTATAACAAAAAAGAAGAAAAAGAAGAGAGACCAGCAACACAACAATATGATCAAAATTTAGTGAAACGCTTATGCTACCATATATTGCCATTCTTTGAAGTATTTTCAACCGTGTATACACATATATATACTCTACATTATCTATAGAATTTATCTTCTATGGAGTTAATCATTACTCGGAAATTTGAGTTGTGCATGCCTAAAATCACATACACACTGTACTTTTTTTGTACACTATTTTGTACTTTTTTTTTTTAATAGGAATAAGAATACGTGTATGTGTGTGCGCTACGAAACTACTGCTCGTAAATAGACTTCTGTAACGGAACATCTCACTCTATATAAATCGTGTAAAACTATACAAATATATTATAATATGATTTGCGCAAGATTTACCAAAATATACTGTTGCAATGGTGATAATATAATTCGATATTTCAACAATGGAAAATGTAAAAAATATGCTCTTTAGGATCCTCGCTCTTTCTCTCTAATGATTACATTCCATATTATAATCATACTATGCATACATATATGGCTCAATTTGATGTTTATGATACATATATGCTCGATTACAACGGTACGTTGTTTTTACATTTTTTTTTTAAAAGAAGACTTATTATATTATGCATTTCCTTAGCAAATCTGTGATTCCTGATTCTGTTATTACTCTGTATTTATAATTGCTAGAGACTAGTTTAACGATACTCTTGTATAAGAGTAGTATGCTTCACCGTAATTCTCCGATCGGCGCATTCTGAGACCACAATTCGTCTATAAATCTATATAAAATATCACTGACAGCTACCTGTAACAGACATTAAGAAAAAAAATATATTTGTATAATCTATCGTATATTTACGAGATTTTCATGAATAATTCTGCTATCTACTTTAATATCTGAATTAAAAAATTTCAAAATATTAGGGATTTTAGAAAAACCGTCAAATTTATTTCAAACAACTTCAAGTCGAGCAATCTGTATTTGATTATATCAATCCTCAGTAACTCTCAAGTATTAAGATTTTACCTTATATGGTGTTGGATTCAAGTTTCTTTTATGATCGTTACGCAATGTATTGAGAGATTCTTGCACTCTATTGCGAACCTCTTGCAAAGTAGGTAATGGTTGATACAATTTGCCATCTTTCCAGTATATCTGTAAGATATTTTTACTCATTAATTATAAATCATAAATATTATTAACGTCAGTAGTATCAATAACAATATGTATAAAACCGCTTATAAAATAACTGATAAATAGTTTATATATTAAAACGCGCAGTGAAATAATCACACAAAAAAAAAATTTAACTATAAATTGATCAAATCTAAACAGAATGGAAAATTTTAAACATCCATATATTATTATCTATAATATATTATATAGTATAATTTGAAAATTATAGGATTCTTTTTATTTGATTTATTTTTATCAGTCTAAATTTCATTTATAATTGAAAACTTATTATAATCAGATGATATTCTGAGCGCGAACGTGGTGTAACAGACAGCGCACTATCTAGAAATCCCAGGTTCGATTCCCGGCAGAACCGAAAAATTTTCGTACACTCTTAGCTCCTCTCGGAAAGCAAACCACCAAGTAGTATACTTGCCCAAACCTCTCTACCAAAAATTACCGTTCAGAATCGGCGTTTAAACTGTAGGTCCCCATATACGTGTGTATGATCACTGTGCGCGCACGGATATATGAGAAGGAGGCGCCTACGCGCTGAGATAACGTATGACACTTGAAGAAGATATCTACCTTGTGCAGAGACTCCACTCGGGATGGTGTAACATTAGCCCTTTTTGTTTGCTGAAACGGATGCCTACAAAGAACCTTCTGCATTACTTGCGGTGGGTCTTCCGTTGTTATCTGCAAAAGATCTATCAATGCGTAGCCATCCGATCCATACAGTCTATAAGCATCTTTTCTGCCTGGTATTGTGACCTTTCCAACTTCTTGACTCAACTTGATTCTCGGTTCATTATTAATTTCTACCATTTTGTAAACGCATCCCAGAGCCGGTTGTCTTTGGCATGTTACGAGATGCGTTCCAATCCCAAAACAATCAATTTTGTGGCTCTGGAAAATATTCATTTTTTTTTAATTATACATTTTTTACATTCGCGATTTATAAATTTTTACCTGCTCGTTCAAACTTATTATAGTCTCTTCGTTGATGTCGTTGGACGCGCAAATCATCAATTTTGCAAACCATGGTATGTCGTACTTGATGGCAATTTTCTCGAAAATATCTCTCGCCACGTTACTAAGATACGCTAAATCGCCGCTGTCAATCCTGATACCGATAGCTCTGTATCCCAAGTCATTCAAAGCTAACGCTACCGCGCAGAAGTTTAACAGACCGCTCCTATTCGTAAAATATATATCTATGAGATATCTAAATGACTAACACTACTCTAGTTCTATATTCTACTTCTAACTACAACTAAATGAATTAATTGTAAAGCAATCTAGTCACACACTTTTTATGCTATCATATAATTCGGTAACAACTGTATAAAATAAAGCCTAAACTTGGCAATGTATTCTGTGTGAAAATATATTCTTGTTTTTTCGTTTGTATTTTCGTTTCAATTTAAATTAAAAAATTAATTTCTGTCGCATTACTTTTATACTTTTTGCAACATCAAATTTACTTCTTTAGATTTGCCAAGTTTAGAATTAAGAAACATTGCGCACAAAAGATTAAGTACATAATAAAATAACTAAAACTACATAAAATTGCGCATTCACTGTTAATTGGTATAAAAAGAGTAATAAGTATTTCAACCAATTATTGTATTGTCATTTAATTTACGTTTCCAATAAAAAAGTATACGATATTCTAGCAAATATACAAATATATAGCCAATTGGTATATCGATGATATAAACATATCACGATAAATATAATGTTTTATTTACAAATATATTCTTTCGCTTTTTTTTTACAATATATTTCCTTTTGTATAATATTTTGGTAGTGTGGCAGTCTTGTGTATATTAAACTTATGACAAAATTTGCGACGAAATTGTATATGTTTAAATAACAAAATATATAAGATATTTGTGTAACATACAAAATGTGCCCATGTCAATTTCTGAAAGTATTAAGGGGCAGAATTGGGAGGGGCACTATATAAGTATCATAAATATATAGTGACTAACAACTAAATTCTAATGAAAAATAAGATTTTGGTTATTTTAATTGGCACGTCATAGGAGTAGCATGATATGATAACAATTTGCAATTTGCCCGTTTTACAGAATATTTACGACATTTTCTAAGTGAAAGATAGAGGAGTAAATTAAATTAATATATTATCAGCTATTAAATAAAATTCAAAGAAGCTTCAAATTGCCGAGTTATAGAAATATATCAAAATAACTTTCTATGTATCCTATTAAATCTCAACCATTATAATATTACTTATGAAGGGATAGGCTTCGGTGGCGCAAAAAAAATTGAAATATGATTCGCAAAGCATAGATTTGACGAGAAAAAGGGGGAAGAAAAAGAATCGCATTCCGCAAAACAGGCAAAGAGAACGATATCGTACCTCATATAGAGCTCACCCAATTCGCCTCGTCTTAAAAAGCCATTCTTGTGAAGTTGCGAAGTTGGTTCTGATTTAATTGGGTTGTTTCTCACACCGTTTTGGGCGTGTGTATTGGACCCATTAGTTAGAAGTTTATTCTTTACATTTAGGCTGGCCACTTGTGCCTGCCCCTTGGCCGACGTCTGAATGCTACAAACACACTCCTGTTAGGCTACAGTGTGTATACGCATGTCGTCGTGTCTGTTCGCGACGCGCTGACAAAACTAAATTATAAAATCACTAGTGACATCGAATTAAGAATATACTTCTGTCTTATTGAAATATAGATATAATTACGCTAATTACTTTTTATTTCTATAGGTAGAAGATAAGTATGTACGAGATAAAAAAAAGAAATTTTACAGTAAAAATTATAACACTTGATCTTTGAAATTATAATTGTCATATATATTACAAATTATATACAGTATACACCTACGCATAATTAGAAAAACGATTTTAATTATGTATGTGTGTCACGAACATCCTCTACTGCATACGTAAAAAATATAAGCTAATACATGCATCGACAACAATTGACGTGCGCAGTATACGTAATGTCTCAAAATATGTGCCTACAATACTTTAAATAATTTTTATTTTAAATAATCAATTTTAAAGATTCATTCCTAAAATATCTTCACTTTTTGTTAATTTAAATATTATATATACAACACAAATATCTATATATAAAATTATTAAAATAAATATACACATATGTATACACAAAATTATCAAAAGCATAATAAAACTATTCGTGAAATATGCGAGACATACAGTGTACTAGTAATATAAAAGAAATAAATATAAACAATAAAATTTATGCAAATCCCATGCATTGATGTAAAATTGATGCGAGTGTGCATCGAAAGAAAATTAACCAAAGCTTACAAAATGTCAATTCAAAAAATAAACATCGAGTTTTCTACTTAAAAGCATCAAATAAACAAGCGACATAATTACATACCTCTTAACATCATACGTGTCCACAAGAGCAGTGAATCTTTCCGGGAAAGCGACGGCGTAACTAATTAAAGCCGCTAATTCTCCATCAGACGCCTGCGAAGCTAAAGCTCCCAAATCGTCAGCAATAGCTTCGCGATGCTTACAAGCAAGTTCCAATACATCTAAAATGTCACCCGTTTGCTTATGCGCCAATGTCTACGAGAGAAACAGATCAATCTTTTTTTTTTCTTCCTTCCAATTATATTATGCAGAATTTCAATTTAACATTTATTAGAGTTAATTTAATTAACTTAAAGAAGATTCGTGTCGAATGTACCTACTTTCCCTTGCAGATCGCTGATGCAGGTGAAAGACGTGATATATGCGTGTGCATGTGTACCACATACAGGTATATTGAACAGCTTTCCAGCCAAGACATTACTAGTCCCATCAAATCCACCTGTAACACAATAAATTACTTTTAACTTAAATTGTTTCTAATTTTTAATTTGCTTATGTCTCATATATTAAAATATGTGCATATTTTGAAAAATATATTAGCGTTATATAGTCAATGTTTTATAAACATTTGTTAAACAATAAAAATATTTCCGATTGTCTTTAGTCTATATTTAAATAAAACTGCTAATGATTTCTCTGTTTGAAGGTATTTTAGTTGACCCGCAACCTACATGCGTTTAAAAATAATAGCTAATTAGTTTCAACAGTTTCACATGAGACATATATGCAAGTGTTGTGCGCGCACGCGCGCGTGTATATCCAGTTGAAACTATATATTCTCTATCTGACCTAAATTGTTACTCATCACCTAGGCAGTACCAACCGGCACTGAGTGGAACAATGTATTGATTTCACTTTTCACAAATTGTTAAGTATAATGTAAGGGTAATGGAGTGGTACCAGACACCTCCGTTTTCATTATATATTATATTATAGACTGGCATAAGTATATTTAAGGTTTTTTATATTTTAAACTTTATATGGTTAATAAATAAAAATATAAAAGTTATTCAAGATATATTATGTAGAAAGATATTTATACATTTTATTAGCAAGTATCAAATGTACAAGTTACGTGCAACAAAAACTTTTACGCTCATATGCGCTTTCATAATGCCATTGCGACATTGTACAATTACCATGCACAGTAATTAGTATAATGAATGTATGTAATACAAAAAAAATAGCAATTGATACAAGTGGCAAACACAAATTTCTTATGCAATGGATTTTTTGGATTCAATGTTAATTCTGAAGCTCATTTTATGTAACAGAGTTACAGTAACCATTTTGTTTTAAACATGAAAATGCGGTATCTGTAATTTCTCATTAAATTCATAATATAATTGTAGTCCGTAAACTATATCACACTAATTAAATAAGGTAAGTATAAGTAAAATTATTTACCAACATAGCTGTATTTAGATGCACTCAATCCTCCATCAGGTCCTTGCGCTCTTCGAAGACCAAATTCAAGCAACGTTATGTTTTTCCCAGCTACCATGCGATATCTTGCCGCATTGGTCGCCATTAGACTTGCATAGTTGACCAATGTTAACAGAGTTGTTTCTAAGAGCTGTACCATTATTAATGGTCCTTCCACTCTTATTAAAGGAACTCTGTAATTAAAAAATTAACAATTATATCTAAGCAATTTACATTTATTCAAACAATAAATTAAAATTACAATAGACATTAATTAAATTGTTAAATTTTTTTAAAATTCATTTATAAATACACATTAAAAATTTTTATTCGTATTTCTGTTGCAATGATATACGTTTCTAAAATACTAAAATTATTATATCTCTAAACTGACTTTTCAGGGGAAAGAATGAGAAAAATCTTTTTTAAATTCACCTTGGAAATACGACCGATCCCTCATCTATGGCGTATATTGTAACATTTCTTGCAGTAAGACTTTGTAGATAATCAAAGAATCTTTGGTCTACCGTAGCAGGCATAGTCGACTTCAGGTACTTGATATCTGTGATACCAAAAATAAGGTAGTATATAATTCATAAAATATATATGGGCATAGTAAGTAGCTCCAGGAAATACGTACCACTAGGAGAATAATGAAATTTATTCAAGAACTTTATGCACTCCTCAAGCCCAGCGAAGATCGTGAATTCTCCCTGAAAAGGATTCTTTTAAGCCATAGTGATTTGATATAAATCTGAAAACAAGCATTGTCCTTCAGTAAATAAGAAATAAAACTTGGAATACGAAAAACATTTAAAAATTCAGCGTCGTCTCAAAAACATTACGGAGAACTGATTATAGTATATCAGTAAAAAAAGGGAAAGTTACATAAGAAACAAATTGCATTTACTAACAGTTTATACCAAATTGTATCTTCAATATTCCATAATTAAATACGTTAATATCGCGCTTTTTACCGACGGGAGAATTGCCACGTTTCCATATCGTCTTTTTATCTCCTAGCTGCGTTTTACAGTGCATACCGAAGGTAACGCGCGTGTCTTTTTGCATGTGAAAGCGGCTTTGTGGGAAAAAATATTCTAAGCAGGTTTACATCGACAAACATAAATGTCGCGAGATATGTCAGCAAGAGACGTTTGTGTGTGGCTTACATCATCGTCAGGATATTTACAAACGTAATCATGCTTTTTATACTTGTATTTGCGCGCGTAGTTATACGAGTGATACAATTGACCCTTTCCGCTCGGCGAGAACGTGTACAATTTAGCATAACAATTCCGTATGTACTTTGTTCGCGTACGATCCTCTCGTTCCTCGCCGTCGTGGCGTCGAGGAAATCGCCAATCATTCAAGTAAAAAAGAATAAATTCTTCGCGCTGGAAAAAAACGCGACTCCGCCGCTCTCGTTCGAGAAACGCATTTCCTGGAAAGCGAGCATCGCTCTTTGCGACAGGTCGGAGCCTCTCACTCGCGCAGACGATTCGTTCCCGTCGAGGACGAGAGCGACGACGGAACTGAGGTTAGCTCGACGCACGGATGGCCGAGGCCGGAATCTGTGATACGCGTCTCACTCCCTTCCCCATCGCTACGTACCTGTGAGCAGCGGCTGAACGATGCCGTTCTGCCGGGAGTTGCAGCACGTCCCACCGTCGTCGTCCGTCGACATCTCGAAAATAGGAGGCCCGCTCGCGTGCGCCGGATCCGTGAGGTACGACTCGCCGCTCTCCCGATCTCGCCCCGTCGGCGCTGCCCCCGCAGATCCGCTCGCTTTTACACTCACTTTTTGCACTTTCTGCATCTCGGAAATGAAACGGATATATGGCGCACACATGCAACCCACACGCGTATACGTGAGGTTCGTTAGATATATATCATATGTTAGATATTAAGCTTGTCGCGCAAATAACCTTTGTGAACTCATTCCCGTCTGTAAAAAGAAAAACGATACAGTTGTAGCGAAATATTAATACGATTGATTAAATTGATTCACTGAAAATTAATGGAGTCTCATTCGAAACCCCCCTCCCCTCGTATTATCCCGCGATGAAACAAAAGAAATGCTGGGTCAAGTATATTCGGCGGGAAGAGCAAAAAAGAGAAGAGGGATTAACGAGGTCGCGCGACGGTTGCGAGAGACGAGCCTTACTTCTTGCACAGGGCCCTCGCTATCCGATCCGACGGTGATCCGCGATCCGCACCGGCACTGACGATGATAACGACGCGATAGCGTCGACTAGCATGCCTCCGCGCGAGCCGCGATGTAATATACGGCTCGCGAGAATCGATAGGGAACGTTTGAAGGACGCGCGGCGGCGTTGGCACGGCCTGTTACACCCGCCGATCTCGCTAATTGCCAGAGCCGTTTGTCCGAAATTCAACCGGGCAATCCGGGTATCGCGGATCCGGATTCCGAGATCTGATGTCTGCGTGCGCATCCTCCCCGCTCTAGTTTTTTTAGCGCGAGAGGAAAGATTGCGCAACTTAACGTATTTTACGCTTATTTCATTAATATTAACCCAGACAGCACACAATATTTATGAAATATTTATAAGACTTTATAGATTCCACAGATCATAAACATTTATTGTAAATATTATGAAATATATATTGTAAATATTGTTGTAAATGCTATGAAAGTATTATTAAGACGTTAGAATCTAAGTAAAAAATAGTTATTATAAATATTTATATTCATCATAAATATTACATAAAATATTTAGAGAGAGAGAAAGTCTATATTTTAATAATATTTCAAATAAAGCTTTATATAAAATATGTTTAAAATATTTATATAACGTTATATATTAATGCTGTAATTACCCTCCCCCCCTTTTGAACGATATGCGAAAAAAAGATATTCTTAGATAAAAAAAAAGAGAAACAAAAAATTAAATTTTATAATTATTTTACATGTTGTTACTCATGTGTGAAACTTGTGTGTCAAATTTAATAATTTTAATAACAATCATTACCAGCGGTATTAATAATCAGTTGTGCAATAAAAAGAATTTACTATTAAATATGAATGCAGTATCAGGACGATCATGCACGTAACTACAAGCTTGAGATCGCGAACTCTAAGCAACACATATAATATTTTCATAAATGTGTTAAATTGTAAATTGTGTCAACATCATAACAATTTATAATCCTAAAGTAGTTAGGATAGTTGAACATGGCCGGAGACACTATCGCGTCTCCTGATATAGGTAAAGCCATTAGTTTTTACAATGACTGTTATTGTAAGCCTGAAGTATTGTCACAAACAGAGATAAATATTTCTGAATATTCTGAACTTAAAGAAATAGAGAATATTCTTTCTTGCTGCAAAAATCGAAAAGTTGAAGTTTTTATGTGAGTTCAGCTGATAAAGAAAAGTGTTGCGAACACCTTAAAATTTTGAATTGATTAGATTAAAACTGTACGAGTTATCATTACAATCATTTTGGAAAATACTATTTCGATTAATAGAATAATCTATTATCTAAATGAGTTTTAGGTAATTTGAGTACTCGGAATATTTAAAAATATTCTAAAAGAGGTTTAGAGTATTAAAAATGAAAAACAAAAATCGATTTTTGGAATCCATGCCAAAAGAGAATACTCTCTTAAATCAATCGTCAATCGATCTTTAAGTAATTGAATTCGATTCGATAAAGGTGAGTAATCAATACTCATAGAGAGCCACATTAGCAAAATGCCATGCTATTGTTTAAATTGGCATAACTCAAAATATATACAGTCAAATAAAATGTTAAATAGCAAATAATACACTCAAAACTACATATATTCATGTGATAATACGTTCAAGTTTAAGAAAAATGAGGAAGTAAATGTAATTAAATGCTAAAATATAGAAACGTTTCGAAATACTTGAAACGTAAAAATGCGTTATAATAAGTACTGGTTATTGAGTATTGGTAATATTAGCGTCATGGTGTAACGGTGAGCTATTGAACTAATAATTCCATAAGTAATCATTAGAATTCGCTATATAATAGCGGAGATATTAAGGGAGGTCACAATATATACACTAGTCATATAATACCACTTTCTCCTCTATATATATATATATATATATACATATATATATAATTAAAAATTATGTTTACATTACTATTATGTAATATTACTTTATACATTACTATTATATAATATAAAGTAATATTACATAATAGTAATGTAAACATAATTTTTAATTATAATAATGGTATTATATTATACATATATGATCGTTAACATTCACAATTCCTCTTGAATTATTGCCTGAACGTGCGTTTCTTCAAAAGAATAGGATTACGTCAATCCGAACATCATGGTAATGAAGTATAATAATAGCGTGCGAGCAGTGGCAATTAGTTAATAGTTCGATTAAACACATGTATCGTTAGGGGTAACATGTTGCCGCAACCGACGTCGTTGCGGATGATACCGTATACTGCGGCAATCCTCGTTTCCAGTGAGAAAAGAAGAGAGTTTGGAAAAAAAACAGAGAGAAAAAAAGGAGAGATACTTTTCGAACCCGGACAAAGTTTGCGTGCAGAAAAAAATTTAACGCTTTATATATCGCGTGTCGCTTCTTCCGCAGTTGAAATCATGAGTCGCTAAAGTGGAACCTCGAGTCTCATTTCGATGAATCACGCTACCAGTAGTGTAGTATTATATACCAAATACGAAGACAATTATTTAGTTACGTTAGAATTTTCCTAATCGTTATATTTCCACTCTCGACGAATATTATATTTCTTTCTAATTCTTAAATTTGAAACCGATTTAAATATTTATTTCAAAAGTGATATCGGGCCAGGTCTGTAGATAACTTTCTTTGCTCAAGTCAGATTTGTTTTATTCTCTATTTATTCAGTTTCGATAGTATATTCTCTTCAGTAATTATAACGTCATTTATCAACATTATCAGAAAAGGAAAAAGAAAGAAAGACAGAAAGAGAGACAAAAAATAGAGACAAATAAAATTCTTAAAATCTTATACAGATAATCTTATTCTTCTTCTTCTTCTACCATGGTTGTAAAATTTTCTTCTTTATTATCAGTTTATTACGCATAATTGTATTTTATACGTACGCAACACAGTTAGCCAATATTTCGTTCATTTTTATATACAATAAATAAACTTAGAGAATATCATTGCATTCCACATAAGAACGATTTCCATTGAAATTTGTATGTATATTGCAATGTATGCATAATGCATAGTCAAAAAGGATTTTGTATACATATTTACATAAGAGTGGCCTGCTAGTAATTTACATATATTCTTGTGTACATGTATATAAAAGCCCAGACAACAAAAAGTGTCTAAAATCGGGTTATAAGATATTTTTCGGAATACCTACATACGTTTCTAAATAAATTTACAGAAACTATGGCTCTACTCAATTTAGATCTTTATGCGTGGTTTTATGTTTAATTTTAGCTGCTTACTGCATTTTAATAGAATCGTCATACTCTATTGAGAAAAAATCTCTTAACGAAACATATATGTGTACATATAATTATCTTATCATTTATACGTGAAAGGTGCGGCATACTATCTCTTAGATATGATATTTTTAATATTGAGTGTCGTTGATCTTTTTAGACTTTGAATTGTTAGCTGTCTATGCCCGCACAGCATTTTAGATTTCAAATACGTAGTAGATATATGAAATTTGAAATGTTGCTATAAAGCAGATACATAGTAATACGTATGAATCATAGACCAGATATATGTTTAATACCGATAAATGTCCGCCTATATATAGATACGTAATTTACTTACGTATTAGATACATAAAATTGCAATGTTATAGCTATATAGCAGATTCGTAGCAATACGTATAAATCATGTATCAGATACATATTTAATACCGATGAATTTCCATGCTGTAGATACATAATTTACATTAAATACCAAACACATATGACAATATATATTCTTTTCGTATTAAATATGTAAATTATGTATTTGATACATATTCCTAATTTTGCAAATACGCGTTCAAAATTTATAATGTACACCCAAACAACATAAAGTCTAAAATTATGACATAAGACGTCTTTAAGTCGTCTTTTAGACGTAAAAAACGTCTTATGACCTGATTTTAAACACTTTTTGTTGCCTGGGCATGTATTATATAAGCCATTTACAGGCCAAAGTGGGTAATTCTATTTTGGAATTAAAAATAATTTTAATGCCTTGATTGATACTTTGGCTCTAAAATTTGAAGATTCAAAAAGTGAAATTAATCACGACATTGTATGTCACTACGAATATCTACGAAAAATTGAGAATTTTTAAGACAAACAAACCTCACTTTACATCCTATTACAAATATCTAGGAAAAATTAAGAATTTCTAAAATCTTGTCTCAATCTATATAGTTTTTCTGTACTTTTTTTGTTAACATTTGTTTTCCGCCAGGGAACTTACTATTTAATTTAAATTATTTTTTACTATTTAACCTAAATTTGTTTCACACGAATTGTTTCGATCGACATTAAAAATTCAAGCTTGACCGAAATAAGCCTCTATTTCTTAATTGTTGTGTGTTCACATCGCGGTCTAATATGATACTTTAATATTGTTAAATTTGTTATCTAAGAACACACAACAATTAAAAATTGTACTGAACTTATTATTGCCAAAATGATTGTACATACATGATTAAGGCTTCGGTCCCTTTGGCGCTACAAATTCTTCGAAGCATTTTTTGATTGGTCAGTTAGTGAAATTCATTCTTCTGATTGATCAATCAAATACTTTGAAACATTTGTAGCACCATGTTGACCACACCACTGCCGGTTATGCGATCAACATTGAATGATTAATCCTCTTTAAATAGTTTGAATTTTTAACTCTTTCCGTAATCATTCTGCATTAATCATTCCAACCATTTCTGTGTTCCCGCGTGGAAATGTAGATCTATCGACCTTTTTTAAGTTAGCTGATAATTTTATTTCTCTGCTATTTTTAAAATCGTAACGATTTTTCTTTTCCAATATTTTTAGAAAAATGCATGAAACGTAAAATATCTAAACAGTATCTAAAAAAAGAGTTCTAAAGAGAATTTAGAGAGAGGAAAGGAAAATTTAGAATTCTAAATTTACAAATAAAATGTTATTGTCAACAATAAAGAAATCGTACATTGATAACGATGATGAAATGAAAGTAATCTTTTTTAGTAATAAAGTCGATGAAGATTTTAGTAGTCCACTCTACTCCAATGATGGGATAGTGATTAATAAAGGAATGTTGCAGTACAAGATGTAAGCAAAAACTGGGGCAAACTCGTTTACCTTCTTCTTGTAGTTAGTATCCGCAATGCGCGTATATCGTGTACGTATACGAATGAATGTATAACGTCGATTTCCTCGGCAACATTGTTTACTGGTAACCAATAGTGATTCTGTAGAGGAAAGATTTTGATCTGAATCATCATGATCTCTTGATGCGTATTGCGTGTAATTCCGTGATAGTGTCGTAATTCGGTATTAACTGTGTATAATTCGCAATACTGATATATCACTGTTATATCTTATTTACTATTCTTTTTCCAGTATAAAGTCATTGGAGATTGCGTCGATGTCGCTCAGTTTTGCTGAGCGCATCTATAAATATCTTTATGAGAGATATTTATTGCCTATTTCCATCTGATTTCTCACTGTGACGGCAAAATATATCAAACCCCGCCGTCAGATATCTGCAATTAAACGATCCTACCATTCGTCAATTTAACAGTAAAATTCAATTAATATAGTAAAAACAAACTGATAATTAATATTTGTTGCTTTTTTATTTTTAACGCTAACTAGCATTAGTTAATGATGCCAGTTTATTATTTGTTGGTATTCGCGTTGTATATTGCTTGTATATTATTACAATTAAATAAATGTTTTTTAGAATTTACGCACACGGAATGCACAGTACAATTTTTTATGTCAAAGGAAGCAATATTTTAGCCATAATAAATAACTGTAATTTAAAAACTATTGCTCGAACTGATTCTGCCAAAGGAAAATATTGCGTCTTCTATATGCGCAAATTCTAGAACACCCTGTATAAGATGTAAAAAAGCGCGCATTTAATATATCATTAAAAAAAAATCACACAGTGAATAAAAAACATTGATTAGATAATATTAATGTTCGAAGTGTCATTAAGAAAGTGATATATATCAATATTTTACATTCAAATTAGGCGCAATTAGACGTAAATAACATGTTACGCAATACTCAGATATTACGAAAGATTATGTGGACATTATAAAACATATCTAAATCATAGAGGATAAAGTGCTTGGATAACAATATGATCGCGTTGTACTTTCTAAGCAATTTAGAACAATATATGTTATTGTAATTCTCGTTTATCGCTTTAAAATAGATGTAAAATTTGTTGATAACAATTCTAATTGCAAGAAAACATTATCGTATGCATCACTATTGTATGTATCTCCACATAGCGTCTAGATATTGTATTCCGAATTTTCTTCGCTTTAAACTTTATCTATTCTGTATGCCATTTTACAATATTCTGGTTATCACTTATTATATTTGGATACTTATCGTATCACTTGACGTCAATCCTTCTAAAACACGCAGAAAATGGATCTACAACTTTTATGTATCTACAAAGTTAATTTGCAATAAATAATTAAAAAATAAACTGATATATTAAGATAATTTTATTCTTATAAATATAAGATTTTCTTAAATTCCATTTGGGTTTGTGGTAAAACTCTATTTAAAAAGGATCCGTGTATGATGATATGAGAAAACCATTTGATTTCACCGGGATCCAATTTTATATAGGATTAGTGCCGGGTCCTTTATGGAATTAAGTTATTGGAGTAACATCTCACGGATGAATAAATCTAAATAGTAGTGAAAAGAGCGTACGTGATACCCAGGTAGAACACGGAGTCATAATTGTGTCATAATGGTATCACAGAACGTCATCATGACATCATTTGATACCTAAAAATTGACTTATAAGTGACGAATGAGATCATGGTGATGTCCTCATGACTTCTGTGTTCTACTTGGGATGCTCTTAGGAGTGAAAAAGAGTCATCTTGCGTTTTTCACTTCAATAAAAATTTGACGTCCATCCCATGGTCCATCCCCTTGAAGTATCTTAAATTGATGAATACCGTATAACTTAAGAACAAATAAGTCTTCGTATAATTTCTTTGAGACACACTCACGATCGCATATTTACCACGTTTTATATACGTCGTTCATTTATGAGTGCCGATAAAACGTCCTTCCACTCCGTTCCGGATCGATGACGTAGTCGGTCAAAGTTGTGTTATTCTTATGTATGTAATTGCACGGTCATCGATAATACACCAACCAGTTGAACGACATATGCGTTTCTCTTTGTGCGAATGCGGGATAAGAGTTCAACTAATTTTATACAATTAATTTATTTTATATATACGTCACAGATGGTGTATTTTGCACTAACTCTACAGAATGATCCTCCATGGTATTTGTCTGCTGCTAAATATGCTATATATATGTTAATTTTCTGCATTACAACTGGCACTTCTGAATTATTGTTAATTACTAGTTTCGATTGCTAGGACAGTGTGTGTCTTTGGCGTGTCGGTTTTAGAAAAATACTCAATTTTTGATTCTCTAAGGTCTAAAATGCAAGAATGATGACGATTGAGCTGCGAGCATCGGTTCACCGTGGATGCTCTTTCTCTGTCAAAAATTGATTATTTTTGTATATATGTATATATACATATATACAATGTATATATATACATATATACTATTTATTGTTGCCTATGTCTATAAGTGTCTGTATATATAATATATGTCGGCAAGCGTCCGGAAAAAACGTAATCACAAAATACACGCTTGTATCTCTATGAGTTAATAATGTATTAATATAATGCGATTACACATGTGATTTCCTTTTTTTATCTCTGCAATACGTAATACGAGCTACTTATTGTTTGTGTACTGACTGTCGTATGTGTACTTATTTCTTTTTCAGGGCCTGTAATGCTCTCTCTATTTACGCCTTCTGCAATATTTTAGCGCGTGTGCGAATGTATACGGAAGCACGGACTATTATCTACGTTACACGAACTATCTAACTATAATCAACTAACTTAACTATATTTTCCTAATAACTACTCAGACTTCTGTTTAACATTTACCTCATATATCTCACTTATAAGAATAACGTCATGATCGTATTTGTAATATCAACTACGGCGCCTATACGTCCTGCTTATTGATAATTAATACTGCTAGACGACTAGACTTGTTTCATGTAACATTCGGTTTTGTCCGCCCTTAAAATTATTATCTAATTTGACACATAATTTTCGTATACAGTCTTAACATTTATGATGATGTTTGTATTGTGCTAAAAATATGTCACAGACTACAAAATTTTTTTTCCTCCTTTCTGCAAATTTTCCTTTTTCGCTTTTTGGTCGATACATATGTTCCATATAAAGCTCCCTGTGGATTATTCGCTTGATCGCTGTGAGTAAAATAATGTGTTTTTCTTTAGAATCTTCGTCACTGTTTGAATAATGCTACAATCGTGTATAAACTATGCTCGTAGAATAATATTTCTATTAATACGTAAGTCGTAAATTTCATAACCAGTATAAAACGACCAGTACCAATACAATTATCACAGAGTTGTCAAGATAACGTCATATACAGTATAGAACTAGTTTTACAATGTATCTTGCTCAAGGTTGAGAAAGTTACTTTACTAATTACTTATAAGTTACTTTTTATCGTAGAAATTGAGTACAATAAGTTCGAGTATTTTATTTTTTATATTATATTTTATTATTTGCTCCAATTTTGTACTCGATTTCTATAACAAACACATATAAAGCACCTAAAAAGTAACCTTCTCACAATCCTAATCTTGCTATACATAAATTTTTCATGGAAGTAGATATATTATATAAATCATATAGTGTGTGTTATTACTATCTAATCTAATACTGTTTTAATGGTCTCAAGAAAATAAAAAAATGAGGAAATATGCACAAAAATGGCAGTGGAATTTTTATCACAAAAAAGGAAGATATGATAATATATAACAAAATCTGTCTGATTTAAATGTGTTAACCAGTTTACACAATACATTTACAATAATTACATTATATTCTTAGAAACATTTAACAATGATTTCCTATCACTAAAATAATCTGTATAAATTGCATTAATATGCATAAAAAATAAGACTATAAGTATATCGATACTTAAATCTGGCTATGAAATTTCAAACTTACTTTATTTGCTATATGGTAGTAAAGCTTCAACGCTATAAGCTTACAAACAATAATGGAAAGTTACCAATATTTTATATCAACGAACATCTCTATCAGATAGCAGAAAGACGTACGTGTTCAATAAGTAATTAACAAAATATACAATACCAACAACAATATACTTAACGCTAAATGTATATAAATAATTTAAGAACAATAAAACATACAAAATTTCCATTTTCGTACCTTAGCACCGTTAATTTCTGGAAATAAAGTTTACATTACGACAGATACTAATATATGATCAATATACGATCACCTCGGCAGAACATTCATCCGAAATTTTAAGACCAGTCCTCATATTGACTGCCCATGGTTCATCTCATTAAATCCGCCGCTCTCTGTCGATCCCGATGGACTTCCCGGGGATGCATTCTTTTACGATGAGAAAAACAATTGCCGGAGCTCGCGAAAGCTTTCGGACAGTAAGGACACTGATAAGGCCTCGCACCTGTGTGCTGATTTATGTGGAATTTTAAATCCTGATTTCGCTTGAATGTCTTATCACAAAGCGGGCATGCGTGCGGTCTCAAGTCCGAATGCGTTATGCTGTGAGCACGTAACGTCGAATTCGTTGGATACACTCTCCCGCATACATTACACGGAAATTGTACGCCGCTGTGGTACTCCTTGTGTCTGAACAGATTCGATTGAGTTTTGAAACTGCAAGAAATCAAATTTTCTTCGGTAATATTTGAAAATCCTTCAATAATAATATGATTAATACATTATTAGACAATTAAAAATTTAAATCAGTTAAAATTTAAATATTAAAATCTTAATATTATTTCAATATGAAAACAAAAACAAATTAAAAAATTATTTTACAATAGCTTTTTTTTTAACAATAATTCTTTAATCAAGTATTTAGGAAATAAATATGAAATTATTACAAGAATTATTACAAGAATTAAGCGTACATTCTTCCACATATATCACAGCCATACTTTCCTTTAGGCCTGTGAGTCTCTAAATGCACTTTCAGATTTCCCTTTGTAGAAATCTTTTTACTGCAAATTGGACAGATGAAGTTGCTGGACGAATTGTTATCACTGTTCGTGTGAAGCACACCATTTATAGAATAAACGTGTTGAGATTGTAAAATAGGCTTTCCGTCGAATCTTCTCTCTTTGGGTAAATGCGACCACAAGTGATTTTGCAAGCCAATTTGTGATATAAAAGATCGGGTACATATTGTACATTCATGCGGTTTCTCTGATAAATTGGATATAATTTTTTCACTGTCTTCGTGCAATTTAGATTCACTTTCATCTTTCTTTTCTTCGTCTTCCACTTCAGTGTTTCTATAAAACAAATAAGATATATAAGCAAGTACATTCAGCTATCAATATACTCTTTATTTTATATATATATATATATAAAATAGTATAAAAATTCCTACTTGTTTGTTAAAGGTAACGGTTCGGGTGTATGTGTCCTTGTTATTTCTTCCTCGTTATCTGAGGAATCTGAAGCTTCGGATGTAGACTGTTCCATGCCATATTGTAAAAATAGCATTGGATCCACTTTTACTTCCATTTCCTCCATGTTCGGAGTGCAACGTCTGACCTCTTGGAAATTTGATTCCTGTGATCCCAGTGGTTCGTCCTCAGTTAAAATTTCTATCGCACCCTACAGATAACATTGATAATATAATAAATGCTATAAAATAAATAAAAATCTGATATATGCTAAAAGGTAATTTATAATACATACCTTTGTCAATATCGAATGCAATAGCCCTCGATCTTCCGCCTTTTTTATAGTATCTTGCATGTCTTTAATATTCTGTATCTCATCTTCTTGTACAGGATTCGTATTGTCAATGTTACCATAAAGCTGCGATCTCAACTTCTCTTGGGTACGGTATGCCATCATTGCAAAACGATGGACACCCTCCAGTCTCTTGGTACACGTAGAACAGACCATTTTTGAAAATTTATCCTCCGATGACACCTACAAAGCATTTAAAAATAAGTATAAATGTATAAAAATATACTATATTATATGCAACATAAATTATGACGCCAATATCTGAAATTATAGTGTTGGATTAATTCTTTTTATGAAATAAATTGAATTTGTGGAATAAGATTAGAATATAATATACAGATAATATATATAAAAAGGAGGAAAAATATAGATATTCAAATTCCACTTCTCTCTTCTAGAATTCTAGACTGAAGTAAAATATACTATACGTTTTTCCTCAAAACAGAAAACAATAAATTATTACAAAATTATCGCGTTATTAGAATTTACATTTGTGCATTATATTCTATATGTTGATCTATATATACATGACTGTCATTTTCAGATACTGACATCATATAATTTATCAAGTCAATTGTATAATTAAACATTTTATTATCATCATTACGTCGTTATTCGTTTCTCCCATTATTGTCATCTCTCATTTGCACAGCAGCGCGTCGCGAATTCTCTCCCTAATTTCATTCTCGATCGACAATTAACCTAGCTTTCGCGAGAGCGCCGATAACGTCGTCGAGGTGGGAAGGAAAGGACGTTTCGTTTATTTAAAAAGAAAGTCGTCCCGTTTTTCCCCTTTTCGCGTAATCGCGTCTCGGTCGACGCCAATCTATTCCGCGCGTCATTTTCCCCGTCGCTCCACCGCGGACGCGGCCCTCATTTCCGATTGTATTTATAGATATGGCCGCTTATATATAGCGTACACATACACGCGGGCCACGGGTATACTTATTGCAATCAATAAAATGCTAATTTTTAACACTTTTGTAGCTCCGCACACAAAATGGTCGCGCTCATGACCGATGTATTCCGTAAAATACGTAAATACGATCAGCTCTCTGTGAATCGTAACGCGACCGGTTCCTCCGACGAGTCCGCTGATATTTCGCAGCTCGTTAAGAACCGACGCGATTAATTTTTTCAATCGGAGACTTTTGGCGAGGCGTAACCCAATGCTTAAGCATCCGTATCGCGAAAATGTCGCCGTTATATTTAGACGACCGAGTCAATTCATTCGCGTCGAGCCTGATCATTATACGATGAAAAAAAAGAGACGAGATCGGGGAGACGATCGGCAACTCCAAATCGCCGTGATATTTTTCATCGCCGATTTTTCGCGAAACGCTGACGAGGAAAATCGTCGCGATTTCGCGATCAACACGAATCTTCGCGAAGAAGATCGGCGTGCGATTTCGACCGATCTCGAAAAATCGGCTGAGATCGGCAGAGGGACGTCGACGTGAATTTCGAAATTCGGCCGCGACCGGCACGTGATCGCGACACCTGTCGCGTAGAGGAGAGGGGGGGAGGACGAATTTTGAAAGGAAGAAAAAATGAGGGAGAGAAAGGGAGAGAGGAAACGAGGGGGGAAAAAGAGGGAGAGGGAAAAAAAAGGATACCCGCCGCGCGAAGATACGCGCGAAAGCGCGCTCGTGTCTCACTCACCAAGATATGCAGGTATTTCCGTATTTTGGTCTGCAGATAATGACGCCGGCCGTCCTCAGCGAAAATGTGCATCCCGCCGTCGTCGGTGGCGATATCGGTCGCACAGATCCGGCACTGCGAAGCGAGCCGGTCCGCTTGCCGATCGCGCTGCTGCTCGAGATCGCGTGCAGCCGTACCCATTTTTCAAAAAGGAACCGGGAGAGCGCGAAAACGGGGAGAAAAAAAGAGGAGAAAAACGGAGAGATCGGCAAAGGAGAGAGAGAGAGATAAAGGGGAGAAATAATGAAAAAAAACGAAGAACGGCGTGCCGGGGGGAGGAGGGGGAAGACAATTTTTCTTCTCGTTCCACAGCTGGAAGACTTTTTCGTTTCAGCCGATCCTCTCGGCGAGTAGTAACGGCGGCACGCCGACGCGAGGCTTCGTCGGAGACACGTCGGTGATTTTTTTTCTTTTTCTTTTCTCCTCCCAAGACTAGGACGAAACGCCGAATCGCCGAGTCGGCCCGCGACGCGACGTCTTCATGTACCCGGACAACGACGGGGCATCCTCGGTCGCGAGGAGCTGCGACGGCGGCGACGACG